TGATGGGGATGGGATGGGATGGGATGGGGTGGGATGGGATGGGGTGGGATGGGATGAGGATGGGGTGGGATGGGATGAGGATGGGGTGGGATGGGATGGGATGGGATGGGGATGGGGATGGGATGGGATGGGATGGGATGAGATGGGCTGGGATGGGATGGGATGGGATGGGATGGGGATGGGATGGAATGGGATGGGATGGTGATGGGGATGGGATGGGATGGGATGGGGTGGGATGGGATGGGATGGGATGGGATGGGATGGGATGGGATGGGGATGGGATGGGATGGGATGGGATGGGATGGGGATTGGAGTAGGGGTGGGGGTGGGCGTGGGGATGAGGATGAGGATGGGATGGGGGTGTGGGATGTTGACACGGCCTGTGTGGTCTCCACTGTATGGAAAGGACCTCAGGGTGCCTTGGACACCCTGGGGCTGGGTCCCAGAGCTCTGCAGGAGGGGGTCCCCAGGGTGTGGGGACGGGGATGGGTGGGGACAGGATATCAAGAACAGTCAGGACTGTGGGGCTGCCCACGGATGGGCCCCAGTGCCAGGAGAAGCACAGCCACGCAGGGACACCGCTGTGCCGCCAGCCGCTGCCTTTCTCCTGGCAGTGGCACCTCGAAAGCCCGGTGCCAGGCGATGTCCCCAGGCGGCACCGTCCCCAAGGGGGGCCCACCTGGATCAGATACATGCGCTTATCCCAGGAGAAGGCGGCGTCCACGTCACCCTGCAGGCCCGGCCAGCTGTGTGCCTGCGGCCACGCGTGCCACCCATCCTTCCAGGAGTCCAGCCGGAATGAAAGCCCACCTGCAGCACACATCAGCACCACGGCCCACGGCCCACAGCCCCTCACAGCCCCCTGCACCCCTCACCACGGAAGGCGTAGATGCGGCCACTGTCATCGGAGGTGATGGCCTGGAAGGGCTGCCCACTGCAGCGGTCACCAGCGTCACCCCATGAGGTGTTCATGTGTGTGTGACCTGCGGGGTGGGGGCAGTGCTGACATGGGGACAGGGAATGGGATGGGATGGGATGGGATGGGATGGGATGGGATGGGATGGGATGGGATGGGATGGGATGGGTGGGATGGGATGGGGTGGAGTGGGGTGGGATGGGATGGGATGAGATTGGGATGGGATGGGATGGGATGGGATGGGGATGGGGATGGGATGGGATGGGATGGGATGGGATGGGATGGGATGGGATGGGATGGGGATGGGGATGGGATGGGATGGGATGGGATGGGATGGGATGGGATGGGATGGGATGGGATGGGATGGGATGGGGATGGGGATGGGATGGGATGGGATGGGATGGGATGGGATGGGATGGGATGGGATGGGATGGGATGGGATGGGATGGGGATGGGATGGGATGGGATGGGATGGGGTGGGATGGGATGGGATGGGATGGGATGGGATGGGATGGGATGGGATGGGGATGGGGATGGGGATGGGATGGGATGGGATGGGATGGGATGGGATGGGATGGGATGGGATGGGATGGGGATGGGATGGGATGGGATGGGATGGGATGGGGTGGGATGGGATGGGATGGGATGGGATGGGGTGGGATGGGATGGGATGGGATGGGATGGGATGGGATGGGGATGGGATGGGATGGGATGGGATGGGATGGGATGGGATGGGATGGGGGATGGGATGGGATGGGATGGGATGGGATGGGATGGGATGGGATGGGATGGGATGGGATGGGATGGGATGGGGGGGAATGGGATGGGGGGGGGGATGGAATGGGATGGGATGGGATGGGATGGGGATGGGATGGGATGGGATGGGATGGGATGGGGATGGGATGGGATGGGATGGGATGGGATGGGATGGGGTGGAATGGGGATGGGGATGGGATGGGATGGGGATGAGGTGGGGATGGGGTGGGATGGGATGGGGGTGGGAATGGCGGTGGGATGGGGATTGTAGTGGATGTGGGGGTGGGGATGGGATGGGGGTGGGGGATGTTGACGTGGCCAGCGGGGTCCCCACTGTATGGAGAGGACCTCCAGTGCCTTGGACACCCTGGGGCTGGGTCCCAGAGCTCTGCAGGAGGGGGCGCCCAAGGTGTGGGTCACAAGAGTGGGTAATGTGGGTGCAGATCTCTGGGCTGACATCCCAAGGGTCAATCTGCAGGATGATCCCCAGGGTGGGTGTTCAGAGCAGGGCCCCAGGTCGTGTTCCCAGCACACGACTCCCCAGGGTGGGTCCCCACAGCGAGTTCCCAAAGCGCATCTCAGGTACGTCATTGCCCCATACATCTCCTGCACGTGGGGCCCCTGGTTGTCATGAGGCTGCAGATCCCTGGCACGGCCCCAGGGGAGCCTCACCTCTGCCGGGGCAGGGGATGAAGTAGTCCCGGAGGTCACGGGGGTACCCAGGGAGCACCTCCCCGGTGTGGGGTTTGACCTGGTGGAACTGCGTGCCCTGCAGGCAGTAGTAGCGCTCCAACCAGCGCAGCGCCGCCTCGCACCGCCCCAGCTTCGACCAGGGGCGTTCCTTCGTCACCCGCAGCTCCAAGTCGAAGGAGAACACCTGATCCCCTGTGCGCGGGGGCAGAACGGCTCGTATGGCACAGCACAGCTCATACGGGGCAGCACAGCTCATATGGGGCAGCACGGCTCATATGGGGCGGCACAGCTCATATGGGGCAGCACGGCTCATATGGGGCAGCACGGCTCATATGGGGCAGCACGGCTCATATGGGGCAACACAGCTCATATGGGGCAGCACGGCTCATATGGGGCAGCACGGCTCGTATGGGGCAGCACGGCTCATATGGGCAGCACGGCTCGTACGGTGTGGCTCTGCCGTGCAGCCCCAGCCCCCCGGCCCCGCGCTGCTCTCACCCTTGAAGAAGAGCACGCTCTCCCCGCCGCACTCCTCGGGGTGACACTCCACAGCAGCGTCCAGATCTCCGGGGACCCCCGGGAACTCATCCGCAATGAGCCGAGGGAAATTGGGGCGCAGCTGCCCCCCAGCGTAGGACCAGACCTTCTCACCCTGCAATGAGCCCCGCGGCTTCAGCTCTCAGATCCGGGTGGCTCCAAGGGAGCGGCCCTAGCAGAAATCGAGCAGCAGGGCCGGGGCCTCGGCACCGCCGGTCTCACGGGCAGCGCAGGGATGCGGACACAGGGGCAGCCCCCCAGCAGCCAGGAGCAGCCCAGGCCAGGACCTCAAGGGTCTCCCCACCCCGGGACCACCGGCTTGGGACCCCCCCAGCTCAGACCCCCAGCCCAGGACCTTCAGTCTGATATTCCCAGCCTGGACCCCAGCTCCCCAGCCCAGGACCCCCTTGCCCATCTTGGGACCGTGCCTGGAAGAGGTAGAGGCTCCGGTGCTCCTCGGGATGATCCCGGCGGTGGATGCGCAGCGCTGCGTCCACGGGCCCCTCCAGCTCCGGCCAGGACTCGGCCAGGGGGCGGCTGTGGGGCTGGGGTCTCTCCCACGAGATTTCCCACACGTCCCCTCCTGGGCGGGAGCACCGTGCTGCCCCACAGCACTGCCCCACAGCCAACCCGGCCCCCCTCATTTACCCACACTCCCTGTATCCCCTGGTCCCTACAGACCCCATCTCCCCCCATTTCCCCCACACCCCATCCCCCTCCCCCCACCCCATTCTCTCCCACACTTCAGTGCCACATCGCCCCACACCTCCCACATCCCCTCCCATCCTCTCCCCTTCCCACACCCCATTTATCCAGCAGCCCATCACCCCCTCCCAGTGCCACCTCCATCTCCCCCCCGACCGCTTTCCTCCCCACGCCCCCAGCTCCCACCCCACACCCTCGGCCCCCTCCCTACCCCTGAAGAAGAGCATGGTGCCGTTCTCGCTCAGCGTTGCAGCGTCGAAGCCGCCTTCATCTCCGCAGATCTGGGCCAGGGCTGCAGGAGGGGCTCAGGTTGGCACAGCCCCCCCCGGCTCCGCTGCGACCCTCCCACCTTCCCCCTTACTCCCCCATCCCACAGTTCTCACCGGTGTCGTTGCTGGGGGTCTCAGCCCCACGGCGGTGCCCATCTCCAGGCGCGTGGGGTTTGTGCTGAGCCCTGGGGGTGGGCAGCACGGGAGGTTATGGCACAGCACCCCCCAGTGAAGGAGCACAAATGGACCCCCGGCTCCCGAAGCCCACCCAACCCACACATCCTCCCTACGCATCCCACTCCCTTATTGCAGTTCTGTATGCAGCCAAAGCTCCGTGGACCCCCGCACCCCCACCCCCCCACCCCCGTCCTCTTGCACCCCAACGCCCTTTGCAGCCCCGGCCCCATTTTCGCCCCTCTGCTCCGCACTCACAGCGGCCATCCGTCCACCAGGAGCAGCAACGCCGCCAGGCACAGCGCGGCCGCGGACCCCCCCATGGTGTGCGGTGCAGCTCCGCCGCCTCCGCCGCTTTAAGTGCGCTCCGCGGGGGGGTGGGGGGGACGCGACGACACCTCGCGCCACCTCCGGGCCCCATTGCACAACGCGGGGGGGTCACGGCCGGGCACGGACACTCCGTGGCAGCGCAGGTAGGGCTGGAGCCGCCCCAACCGCTTCCTATCAGCGTCCTCCCCCCGCCACCCCGTGCTGGGAAACGCCGCTGTTTGCTCGGGAACTGGGGGGAAGGGAGAGGGCAGGGGAGGGCAGCGCGACCCGCAGCGGGACACGGCGCGGAAAGGTCGAACCCGCAGCTCCGCAGCGCCCCGCATCCGCACCGGGGATCCCGCATTGCCCTCTCCGCTCCCCCCCCTCACCATTCGGCCCCCACGGGCGCTGCCGGCTGCCTCCCCCCTCTTACACCCCCCCACTCCCCCCGGTGCGGTCCTCTCCGAACATTCCTGTATTCCTTTATTCTGTATTGATTTGTACACACAGCGCGCGTGGCGGCTGCCGGCCTCCCCTGCCCCCCCCCCCCCCCCGGCCTTCTCCCCCCGCTCCCCCCATCACGCCCCCCCCCCGGAGCATCACCGCGCCATGGGGGGGTTGGGGGGGGGGGGGGGGTTGGGAGGTAACGGCTCCGCTCCGCGCCGCGCGGGGTTAAAGTGCAGCGCGGGGCGGGGGGGGGGGGGGATGGAGCGGAACCGCAGAGCGCCGTGCGGGGTCACTGCAGGTAGCGGTACGCCTTGAAGCAGTGGTTGCCCGAGTCCGCCACCACCACGTGGCCGTCCGAGGTGAGCGCCAAGCCCTGCGGGCCGTACAGCGGATCCGCCGCCGTGTTGATGTAGGACAGGAACGAGCCGGCGCTGTCAAACACCTGCGGGACCCCCCGCGATGTGACGCCAAGGCCGGGAGCTGCGGCCATCCTGGCCGTGCAGCCCCAGAGCCTCCCACGGCTCCATCCCTGCACCTCCGCCCCCCGTGGGCACGCACCCAGCCTTCCCCACAGCCCCCCACGGGCACGCAGCCACCCGCCAGAGCCCACCGTGGACACACTCCCGTTCATTTCCTATAGCCCCCCATGGATACACCCCCATACACCCCCTATGGCCCCCGTGGGCACACACCAACACTCCCCCTACAGCCCCCAGGGGCCGCCCTCGCTCATCCCCCACAGCTCCTCATGGACACCCACCCGTTCATCCCCTATAGCCCTCCATGGGATGCCCTCGCTCACCCCCCATGGGCACCCACCCGTTCATCCCCTATAGCCCATGTCTCTACAGCCCCGTGGACACATTTCCCACCTGCTCAGCAGTCCCGTGGCCACACAGACCCCATCCCCCCCCCATCCCTCCCCATGGCTTTACCAACTTTGCCCATGCTCAGCTCCCAGCTGCCCCCATCAACGATCCCACGACCTCAACCATTCCACCATTCCCCCGTTGGATCTGGTGGCCTCAGTGAGCTCTTGCAACCTCAACCCCACTGTGACTCAGTCCCAATTCGGGGCCACGCACCCCACTCCCTTCCCAGGCCCCATCCCTGCCCAAGGGGGGCACAGCGACGGGCTGTTGGGGGGGGGGCAGGAAGGGGGCAGGACCCACCTGGATGCGGCTGTTGCCCCAGTCAGCCACGATGATGTTCCCGTTGGCATCCACAGCCACGCCGGTGGGCGCGTTGAATTGCCCATTGCCCTCCCCGTGCGACCCGAACTTGAAGAGGAACTCTCCATCTGCGTTGTACACCTGGGGAGGGGGTGTCACCAGGGGGTGTCACTGTGAGGTGTCTCTATGGGGTGTCAGCAGGGGTCATCGCCTTTCCATGGGGCATCAGCAGGGAGCGTCAGCATAGGGTGTCCCTGTGGGGTGTCTCCACACGGTGTCACCATGGGGTGTCAGCAGGGGGCGTCACCATGGGGTGTCACCATGGGGTGTCAGCAGGGGTCACTGCCATGGGGCGTCACCATGGGGTGTCACCACAGAGCATCACTATGGGGTGTCACCAGGGGGCGTCAGCAGGGGGTGTCACCATGGGGTGTCACCATGGGGTGTCAGCAGGGGTCACTGCCATGGGGCATCTCCATGGGGCGTCACCATGGGGTGTCACTGTGGGGTGCCTCCATGGGGTGTCACCACAGAGCATCACTATGGGGTGTCACCAGGAAGTGTCTCCATGGGGTGTCAGCAGGAAGTGTTTCCATGAGGTGGCACCAGGGAGTGGCACCATGGATGTCCCCATGGGGCGGCTTGTGGGGTGTCAGCAGGGAGCGTCACCATAGGGTGTCACCATGGGGTGTCAGCAGGGGTCACTGCCATGGGGCGTCACCAGGGGGCTTCACCAGGGGGTGTCACCGTGGGGTATCACCAAGGATGTCACCATGGGATGCCACCATGGGGTGTCAGCAGGGGTCATTGCCATGGGGCGTCTCCATAGGGTGTCACCGTGGGGTGTCACCATAGGGTGTCTCTGTTGGGCGTCACCAGGGGGGGTCACCATGGGGTGTCACTATAAGGTGGCACCAGGAAGTGTCTCCATGGGGTGTCACCAGGGGTCATCGCCATGGGGCGTCACCAGGGGGTGTCACCAGGGGGTGTCACCGTGGGGTGTCACCATAGGGTGTCTCTGTTGGGCATCACCATGGGGTGTCACCATGTGGTGTCACCATGTGGTGTCACCATGGGGTGTCACCATGGGGTGTCACTGTAGGGTGTCACCATAGGGTGTCCCTATAGGGTGTCACTATGGGGTGGCACCAGGAAGTGTCTCCATGGGTTGTCACCAGGGGTCATCGCCATGTGGCGTCTCCATGGGTTGTCACCATGGGGTGTCACTGTAGGGTGTCCCTATGGGGTGTCACTATAAGGTGGCACCAGGAAGTGTCTCCATGGGGTGTCACCACGGGGCCAATCACCGCAGCACTCGGGGATGGGCGCAGCTCACCTTCACCGAGTGGTTGTGGAAATCCGTCACCACGATCTCGTTCTTGTTGTTGACCGCCACGAAGTGTGGCCCTGGAGGAGCAGCACTGAGAGGGGCCGGGGGCACCGGGACCCCTCGTGGTGTTAAAGTGCGCGGCAGCGTGAGAGCAGGCGGTGCCCGGCCCTGGGGAGCGCAGAGCTGGGGGTCCCAACACCCCACCCGTGGGGCGGAACCCAGAGACTGAGATTTAGAACCCGAGCCCGGAACCAGGACCGAGGAGCGGGACCCAGAACTGGAGTCCAAAACCAAGAGTTCAACACTCAAAACTGGGAAGCCAGATCCCAGAACCTGGAAGTGGGACTCAGAGTCCAGCCTCAGAACCAAGACCCAGAACTGGGACCTAAACCTTAGTCCGGGACCCAGAACTGGGATCCAGAATGGGGACCTAGAACCCGAGCCCAGAACCTTGCACCCAGAACCAGAATCCCAAACTTGAAACTAGAACCAGATCTCAGAACCTGGACCCAGAACTCAGCCCTAGAACACAGCATTCGGAATCAAGACTGAAAATGAGAACCCAGAACTGGGACCCAGAACAAAACCTAGAGCACAAGCCCAGAAATCAGCCTGCAGAACCCAGTATTGGAGCCCAGAGCTTCGCTCCAGCACCAGAACTAGAACTAGAGCCAAGATTCAGAACCAGGACCCAGAAATGGAACCCAGGAGCCTAGAAACCAAGACCCTCACCCTAGCACCAGGAGCAGCTCTAGAACCTTGAACCAGGACCCAGAACCGGAACCCAGAACCTGAGCCCGGCTCCAGAACCCAGAACGCGGAGCTGGAATCCGAGCCCGGCGCCCGGCGCGCAGCCCGATCCCCGCCCCCCCCCCCCCCGGCGCTGCGGTGCCGCAGGTCGGCAGAGCTCGGTGCTCACCCGGCCCCAGCAGCGGCAGCCCCAGGCATGCAGTAAGGAGGAGGGCCGCGCCCGTGTATTACCATCGAGTGTACCTGCAAACTGCCGCTCGGCCGTGCCGCGGCTCCCGAACTTGGTGACCAGCTTGCCGTTGGACTGGAAGATGAAGACGCAGCACGCCTTGTTGTCCACCACGATGATGTGCCCGTTGCGATCCACCGCGACGCCTTTGGGGCCCAGCAGCCGCCCGGCGCCGATCTTCGTCTGCGGCGGGGATGGAATCAGAAGGGCGCCCCGCGCCCGCGCCCCCCGGCCCGGCCCCCCCGCCCCCCTCACCTTGAATTTGCCCTCGGGGGAGAAGATGCTGACCCAGCGGTTGTCGTAGTCAGCGATGATGATGTCCCCGTTCATGTCCACGGTGACGCCGGTCGGGCGCTGCAGCTGCCCCGGGGAGCGGCCGCGCACACCGAAGCGCAGCCGGAACTGCCCCTCGTTGGAGAACACCTGGGGGCGACGGGGGGAAGGCGGGGGTTAGCCGGGCCGAGGGCCAGGGGCCGGCAGGGGCCGGGGGCTCCTACCTGCACGCATTGGTTATTGCTGTCGGCCACCACGATGCGGCCCGTGCTGGAGGTGGAGATGCCCTGCAGGTTGGTGAACTCGCCCTTCTCCCGCCCGCGGCTCCCTGCGTGGGGACGCACAGCCGTCAGCGAGGCTCCGCGCCTCCGCCGCCCCGCAGCGCCCGCCGCCGCCGCCGCCGCTCACCCACGCGGAAGATGAGCTCGTCCTCGATGGGGTTCTCCTTCTTCTTGCCGCTGCTGTACATGCTGGAGGGCCGGCGCACCGCCTTCTGCCGGATGTGCCCGCTGCTGGGCGACTTGACGCGGCGCTTCACGTCGTCCGGGGACGGCGGCACGTCGCTGGCTTTGACGGCGCGCACACGGAAGGGGCTGCCGCGGATGGGCTGCCCGTACAGCGCGATGGACAGCTGGAAGTCGCCCTCGGCGCGCGGCGTGTATAGCAGCTCGTAGGTCCCGTTCTTGTTGTCCTGCACCTCGCTCTCAGCCGCGCCGCCGTCCGGCCCCGTCACCACGAAGCGCAGGCAGGCGCTGCCGCTGCGCACCAACTCGCCGTCCTTGTCCTTGGTGGTGACGCTGAGCGAAGCGGGCTGCCCCACCACCGCGTGCCGCAGCCCCTCGCCCGTGGCCACCGTCTTGTGCGCCGTGGCGCTGGTGGTGATCAACACGCCCAGGTTGAGGATGGATTTGCGCACGCCGTCGGTCTCCACCACGTAGTCCAGCTGGTCGTTCTCATGCGGGTGCTCGGGGAACTCCTGGCTGGCCAGAGCGCTCAGCCTCTCGCTCATCTGCTTGCGCACCAGCAGCACCTCGGGCGCCGTGCCGTGGTGCAGCGCCTGCTCCGTGAACGCGCAGCTGCTCAGGATGTTCTCCTGGCCCTGGCGCAGCACCTCCAGCTGTGCCTGAAGCACCTGCGGGCCGGGCGGCGGCAGCGCTCAGCGTCCCCGCCGTGCCGGGCAGCGCCGCGCCGCACCTCGCCGCACCGGGCGGAGCGCTACCTTCTGCTTGGCCCCGCAGATGGCCTCCAGGTCGCGCACCAGCAGCCCCTTGCGCTGCTGCAGGGCCCTCTCGAGCTCCTCGAAGGTGCTGCCGATCTCGGACACCGCCTCGTTCTTGCGCTCCACCAGCTGCTGGCTGATCTCCGACACCAGCGCGATGGCGGCCGCCAGCTGCGGGAGCCTGCGGAGCCGGCGCTGGGCACGGAGGGCGGCCGCCGGCCGGGCACCCCCCCACCCCCCCCACCCCACGCGCCCCTACCTGCCGCGGATGGCATCCAGCTGCTGCTGCAGGGCCGCCTTGTGCTGCTCCACCACGTCGCGCAGCGGCACGGTGACGTGCTCCCGGTGCTCCCCCTCGGTGCACTCGCGGCACATGGCGGTCTCGCAGGACTCGCAGTAGAACTCCATCACCTGCGGCAGCGGCGCTCAGGGCCCCCCTTCGGCGGCACGTCCCCCCCCCCCCCCCCCCCCCCCCCCGCCACCCACCTTGCCCTCGTGGTTGGGGCACGACAGGGGCTGCCCGGTGACGGCGCTGACGGGGTCCAGCCCCGGGCCGGGGTGGGGGCCGCGGCTGTCGGGGTCGCGCTGCAGCACTTCCATCAGGTTGGTGATGAAGAAGTTGTTCTGCAGGGCCGCCACGCCGCGCTCGGGCAGGATGGAGGTCTGGCGGCACACGGGGCAGGACAGGGTCAGGCTCTGGGGCGGGATATAGTTCTGGAGACACCTGGGGCAGAACGGGGACAACGAGAGGGTCAGGGCTGCCCAGGGTGGGCACCGGGATGGGGCGGGCAGGGGGACGAAGGCTGCACTGCGGTGCACGGGGGGGGGGCACGGGTGGGATGGGAGGACGGGGCTGGGGAAAGGATGGACCGATGGGTGAACTGGAGGGCAGGGAAGAAGGGGCCGGGAGGGTGGACAGAGACGGGGATGATGCACCACGGTGCTGCAGGGTGCACAGGGCAGGAGCGGAGGAAAGGGCTGAGGGAGCGGACAGACGACGGACGGATGGATGGATGGGGCTGTGACTCGGTGCAGCAGGGTGTGTGGGACAGGGCTGGGGGAAGGACAGACAGACGGGCTGGGATGGGGTGCACTGGGGTGCATGGGTGGGAGCAAGGGATGGGGCTGGGGGGATGGCAGACGGTGAGATGGACGGACAGACAGGGGCTGCGCCATGGTGCATCAGAGTGCATGCGGCAGGAGCACGGGACAGGGCTGGGGGTCGGACAGGACGGGTAGGGATGGGGCCACAGCCCACAGAAAGCTGGCCATGAGACCTCGGCATGGGGCCACGGACAGACAGACAGATGGATAACAGGACAGGGCCGTGCCAGACGGGAGCAGGGGAGTGCCAGGGGTGGGCAGGGGCCTGGGGGGGCACAGAGAAAGCAGATGTCAGTACAGAGCCCTCAGCCGTGCTACAGCCCCCTCCACCCCCATCCCTTCCAGGCCCTGCACTGCGGGACAGGAACAACCCTGCAGCCACAGCCCACGCTATGGAGGCTGTAGGGCCATGGGGTCAGTGGGACCCCGGCACCCAGCATGAGTGGGGTGGCCCCATCTTGTGCCGGAGACACGCAGGGGGATGCAGTGCTGCACAACTTGGAGGTAGCAGGGCACAGCAGGGACACAGCAGGCAATGCAGCGGTGCACAGTGGGGACACGGTGGGGAGGCAGGCTGGAAGTGCAGAAGGGATGCAGGAAGGCACAGCAGGGCAGCGGGAACGCAGGCAGGCGATTTTTGGAGGCAGCAGAGGGGTGCAGTGCAGGCTCAGCGGGACACAGTGGGACCCGGCAGCTCCAGCCTAAGAGCTGCAGGAGCTGCAGGAAGGAAGGGGATGCTGCGGGAGGAGTGGGACCCTGCAGGGACGCAGTGTGAGCGCCGTGCAGTGCAGTGAGCAGGCTGACCTGCAGGAGGTGCGGTGGGGATGCATTGAGGATGCAGTACACGTGCAGAGGGGTGCAGTAAGGGAGTGCAGCTGGGGTCAGCATGCAGCAGAGGGGCACAAGCAGAGACACAGTGGGGCACGGTGAGGACACAGTGAGGGTGTAGTGGGTTTCGGGGGGTCCAGACACTCAGTGCAGGACTGGGGGTGCAGTGAAGCCCTTCTCTCGCGAGAAGTCTTCAGGGAAAATGCTTTGGTGGATGCAGTGCAGTGGGGGGGGGGGGGAGGGGAGAGGGAATGCAGCGGGGATGCAGCAAAGATGCAGTGGGAGGCAGCAGGGCACAGCAGGAATGCAGCGAGGGAGATGCAGCAGGGCCAGCGTACAGCAGGGATGCAGTGAGGGTGCAGTGGAGGTGCAACAGGATGCAGCAGGGATGCAGAGGGGATGCAGAGGGAGCAGCCGCGATGCGGTGCAGTGCTGGGGGGCGGCGGGAGGGGCCTCACCTCTCACAGAAGGTGTGCAGGCACGGCAGCACCTTGGGGTTGCGGTAGCGGTCGAGGCAGATGCTGCACACCAGGAACTGTTTGTCAATCTGCCGCACCACCGGGCTGGCGTTGGCCTCCCGCTTCGCCATGGCGGCGTCCCCGAGGCCCCGCGGCGCTCAGCCTGCGGGCGGGGCTGTCAGTGCGCGCCGGGCCCCGCACCGCGCCCAGCCCCGCACCGCGCTCAGCCCCGCACCGCGCCCAGCCCCGCACCGCGCCGGGCCGCAGCCGCACCGCCGGCAAAAGGAGCGCGGTTCCCGGGCCGGAGCGACCCCGCCCGCCCGGCAGCGCTCACCCCGCACCGCACCGCTGCCCCCGCAGCGTTCCCGATCGCCCCGCGGGCGCCTCCTCCTCACACGCCGCCCCCTCGGATCCCCCCGATGGCACCGCCGCTCCCAGCGCCCCGCACCTCCCCGCACCCCCCCCCCCCGCCCCTCTCCGTTATCTCCCGGCCCCGCGTCCGCTCACGGCGCTGCGGCGGCCCCGCGGCTGCAGGCCCCGGCGCGGCCCCGCCCCGACGGCCATTGTGCAGGCCCGGCACCGCGACGTCACCACCCGCCCCGCCCCGGGGGGGCCGCGGGGCACCGGCACCGGGATGGCGCTGCGCCGCCTCCGCCCGCCGCCCGCACCGCTGCGCTCACCCGCGCCCGCTCCCCCCGACCGGCGCCGCTCGCCCTCCCGTTCCGCCCCGCTCAGCGCTGCCCGCTGCCCCGCACCCTCCCGCACCGCCCCACCCGTGCCGGCCGTGTCCCGGCCGCCCGCCCCGCCCCGCGGCCGCGCTGTCACCTTCCAGCCCGGTTCGGCTCGGCTCGGCACGGCTCAGCCCCCGCCGCGGGCAGCCGGGGCCGGCGGGGCGGCAGCGCGCATCGCCGCGGCTCGGCTCAGCCCGGCCCGGTTCGGTTCGGCCCGGCCCGGCGCGGCGGGGACTGCGCCAGGGCTGGGCGCGCTCCGCAGCCGCATCTGCCCGAGCGGCGCGCACCACTGCGGGGGGGTTGCGGCCCCGCGCGTCCCCGCGGCAGCGCGAGAAGAGCCCAACCCCCCCTTGGCCGCCCCGCCGGGGCCCGCAGAGCGCGGAGAGCCGCTCGGAACCCGCGGTGGAAACGGCGCGAGAGGCACCCACGGGCGGCCACGGGAAAAGAGCACCAAGTGCCCCCTCCGCGCCCCGCCGATGGTCTCGCCCGGGCTGTGGCTCTGCAGTGGGGGGGAGCTTCGGGCGCGCTCCCCGCATCCCCGGTACCCGGCGGTCGCCACGGCAACGGTATCCCGCTCCGAGCATCGCCGGGATGGGGGGAGGGGGGGGTGAGGCTGCTGGAGAGTTTGCGTGGGGCGCGGAGCTCCGGACCCGACTGCCCTCGTCCCCAACCCTCCGTGCTGCCCCCGCTCACCTCCGCGGAGCCATGCGGGCACGGCGGTACCCCGAGCGGACCGGGAGTGCCGGTCCTGCAGAGACCCTGAGAGCCGCCGCACCGCGGGCCCGGCCCGGAGTTGCCCGCGGCGGAACCGGACGGGCAACATTCCTCGCACCGTCATCGACACCCGCACTGCCCTACCGCCACCGCGAGGGGACACGAAACCGGAGAGCCGGGGACAAATCTGCGGGGAACGGAGAGCGGGGAATGGCGATTCCTTGATTTGGGCACTGCGTCCCGCCGTCCTCACACCAAGGCACGGTGCTACGGACAGCTGGGCAGATCGGCTGCGGCTGGGGGGGCTCCGGACGGCGGCTCGGAGCTGAGCCCTGCCTGGAGCCGAGCGGCAGCGCAGCACCACGGGGCTCTGCCCTGGGCCCTCTGCTGCCCAGCGTCTGCTCTGTGCGCACGGGGCGCCGCCGGGAGCAAGCGATGGCATCGGCCCTGCTCTGCTCCGCGCCTGCCGAACCGCGTGTGGACACGGGCGCAGGAAAAGACTTGGCCCAGCGCCCCGGGTTCCAGGCGGGCCCTGGGGACGGAGTTCAGGATCCGAACACCGGGAAGCACTGCCGCACACTGAGGGGGCACAGAACGTCCGCTGCTGCCCGCGGGCTGCGGAGTTTCCCCCCACGGAGCTCCCGAAGCTGCCGGGACGCGGAGCCGGCGCCGCTCTGGGTGTCCCTGCCGGAGCAGCGCCGGGCCTGAAGCCCTGAGCGATCCCTGCCAGCTCCACCAGCTGGGGCTCCGGGAACCCTGCAAGGAGGGAGCTGCAGAGGGACCGGAGCTCGCTCAGCCTGCGGGGGAGCTTCGACCAGGCGGCGACCCACCAGCTCCCATGGGAGGTTATGAGCAGCCAGAGCCGGGCTCTGCACTGTGCTTCACAGCAGAACCAGAAGCCACGGGCAGAGCTGGGAGCGCAGGGTTCAGGCTCCATCCGGGGAAAGGCTTCCCCCACACCCGGTGCAGGGGTGTTCAATACAGATTTGGGTCACTGCTGGGTGTGCAGCCCGGTCTGACCCCACAGCTGACCCCACTGTGGATCTCTCAGGCTCTAACAGCCCCCCACATCCTGCCCAGCCCCGCACCCCCTCCAGACCCTTCTGTCCCGCTCCCTTCACCTCCGGTGCGGTAGAGCTCAGGCCGACCCCCGCAGCCCGCACTCAGTGCCACTTTGCAGCCTGGCAGGAGAGAAGCAAAGGGACTGGGGGGGAAGGAGGGGGATGTGGCTCCATCCCGTCCCGGCACCGCGCGGGGACAACAAAGAGCGCAGTGATGGGCACACAGCTGTGCTACGGCGGTGGGGGGAGCGGGAGGGGGGCACGGGAACATTGCGGGCAGCGGCTTCGGGTGGCTGGGGGGCGGTGGAAGCAGCTGCGCAGTCAGCAGCCCGAAATTCCGCACCCCCACACCTCACCCCGCACGCCGCCCTTCGCGTTCCGCGCTGCACATCCCACAGCCCGCAGCCCGGGGAGGGCAGGAGGAATTCCAAAGCATTTATTATCGTCACACAGAAGCACAGGGGAAGATAAAACCCGCCGACTCTCAGCTCGGCGGGGCTCCGCGCTCCGCCCCGCCCGCCAGGCGCCGCAAAAAGCCGAACAGCGCCGGGCCGCCCGACGGCGCGGGGGCAGCGCGGCGGGATCCCCATCGAGAGAACAGCGCGGAGAGGCGGGAGGGGGGCGGGAGGGCGGAGGGAGGCGGGTCGGAGGGGAAACTCTCGGGCCGCGGGGGTTCGGGGCCGCCCCGCAGCTCGGGCAGCGCCGGGGCCGTGTTCCGCCGGAGCAGCGCCGGAGCGGCGTGGAGGGGTCGGGCGGATCCGTCGAGCTCCGCGTCTCGCAACGAGCACGTGGCGACGGAGCGCCGTTTGTCCCGCTGCAGTTCGAGCTGCTGCCGCCGGCGCTGCGACTGCTCCCGGGCGCTGTTCTCCTGCGCGGAGACGGCGTGAGGGCGGAGCGGGGCGGCCAGAGGCGGCGTGAGGGCGGGCCGGGCGTTATTACCTGCACGGCGCTCAGGAAGCGGCCCGCGAAGCCGTGCAGCACCGCACACAGCTCCCGCAGCGCGCCCGGCGCCGCCTCCTCGCAGTAGAAGTCGAGCGCCGCCGCCGCCGCTCCGCACATCCGATCCCTCTCCGCCCGCACCGCTCGCAGCTCCGCCTCCGCCGCCCGCACGAACGGCCGCAGCCCCGCACACAGCGCCGCTCCCGCACCCCGCGCCTCCGCCACGCGCGCCGACAGCCGCCGCAGCTCCGCCTCCACCTCCGCCTCTTCGATCCTACGGGAGCGCCGCGCTCAGCTCCGGGACGGCCCCGCCGGGCCCCGCGCGTGTCCGCGGCGTTACCCGCACCGCGAGGCCGGGCCCACGTGCGGCAGTTTGCTCGGGAAGTCCAACAGGCGTCGGTCCGTCCGTGCCGCCTCCTGCGGGGAGCGACAGGGATGTGACACGGACACGATAGAGGCACGGCAGGGAACCACCACGATAAGGATGCAATAGGAGCATAAGACGGACATGTGCGACGGCGACGCGATAAGCGCGTGGCGGGGACACGGCAGGAGAGCGACAGCGGCCCCGAGGCGTCCCCTGGGGCAGGCGGGGCCGCGGCCCCGAGGGCAGAGCACGGCACGGCTCCGCACGGCAGGTTGCGGCACTGCCTGTCCGCGGGGTCGGCGCAGAGCAGCGCGCACCGCACGGCTCGAAGCACCGCGAAGACGGGGCGGGCGGGACCCAGCCGTGACACCGAGCTGAGCGCTTCCGTCTGAAGAACAAAGCTGGGGGGGTCCGGAGGTTGCGCGGAGCCCCCCGTGCCGACGATGGGGGAGCGACTGCTCCAAGCGGGCGGAACGGAGCGGTGGAGGAGGGGTGGGGGAAAGGCAGCTGAGCGGGGCGGACCGCGCTCCGTGCGGGGGATGCGGCGTGGGAGCGACCTTGGGCCGGGCCGGGGAGGAGCGGCATCCCATGGATGGGCGCTCAGCAAAACTCGAGCGAAAGACGGAGCCGGAGGGCTGGGAGAGTGGAGCTGCGGGATCCCCCCACGCAGCCGGTCCGGAGCGGCCCCGCGGGTGCGGAGCGGGATTCCCGCATCACGGAGCGACCCCGCACGACGACCCCTTTCCCCCCTACCCCCGCCACCACCCGTTCCCGTGGGCGCTCACCATGGCCACGAAGTGCAGGAGGTCCACGCCCGGCACGTTGGCCCTGGTGTCGGGCAGCCTCCGCAGCGAGGCCAGGCGAAACCCGGCGGCGCTGCCCGCGTAGCCGCCCTGGGGCAGGACGCGCGGTCACGGCGGCCGGGGGGCCGCGGGGTGGGGGCGGGCGGGGGCCGCTCACCGCGTTCAGGTGGTTCCCCGCGCTCAGGACGAGATGCAGAACCGCGTGCAGCTCCTCGCACCGCACCACCTCTGCGAGGGGCGGGCGGTGAGCGCGATGGGGACGCGGCCCTCCGCCCCGACCGCAGCCGCACGCTCACCCTCGGCGGCGTCGGTCAGGATTTGGATGGAGGCGCGGAGCGCGCTGAGCCGCGGGGAGAATTCCTCCTGCAGCACCATCAGCTCCAGGCGCTGCGCGTAGCTGCGAGCAGGAGGTCGGGGTGGTGCGGCGAGCGGGACGGCGCCCCCGGCCCTTCGTGCAGCCCCCCCCCCGCTCCCACCTGGGCACCTCCAGCAGCAGCAGCATGAAGAGCTCGGGCTCGGGCAGCTGCTGAGGGCAGCCAGAGAAACCGCGCAGCCGGGACACCTGCGAGGGGGGGCGGAGGAGCCGGCAGTCAGAGGGGGCCGCCGGGGGTCCCCCCCTCCCCGAGGCTGACCTCCACGGCGCCGGGCAGAAGCCGGGACAGCTCCAGCAGCAGCTCCGCGCCGTACGGCGCCCCGACGCCCTCCTCGACGTCCCGAACGATCTGCCGCACCGGGCTGGAACAGCGGGTCAGCACCTCTCAAGGGGCACGGAACCCCTCCCAGAAGCGGCGATTCTCTTCGAGGGGACGGGACCCCCGAGGAGCACGGAAGTTCTCCAAGGGATGGAGCCCCCCGCCGCGCGCCCCCGTTCTCGGGCACGGTCCCGTTCCGTGCCCCCGGGACGGGACCGGGGGACTCCGAAACCCCCTCGGGGTCGGCGGGTGCCCACAGCCCCGCTCACCGCTTGAGCTGCTTCAGGAGGACGCCGAGGGCGATGCTCCGCTTGGGCTCCAGCAGCGCTGCCTGCGGGTGCGGCGCGGTCAGAGCGCGGGGCGCGGCAACGGAGACGCGGCGGTCCGGCCGCCTCTCACCGCGGGCGGCGGGCGCTGCCCCGGGGACGCGCCGCGAGGCTCCCGGAACAGCGACCGCAGTCGGGGGAGGTCCAGAACCGGCGGGGGGGTTCGCGGCGCCCACACCGAGCGGCGGCCCCGCACCCGCGCCGCGGACAGCGGCTCCCAGTGCAGCGCCCGCAGCCGCTCGCCCCGCACGGCTGCTGGGGGGGAGGGCAGCGCCGGGGGGGGCGGCGGCGGCGGCGGCGGCGCGGGGCTGCGCTGGGAGTCCATGGCTGGGGCGGGGGGGGTGCTGAGCGCGGCCGACCCGCTCCTCTTACGGGCTCGAACGGCCCCGCCCCGCCTCGGCTCCGCCCCGGGAGGGCAGAATCACGAATGGTTTGGGTGGAAGGGAGCTCAAGGATCACGAAGCTCCAACCCCCCACCAATGCAGGGCCACCAACCTCCCCATCTCACAGCAGCCCAGGCTGCCCAGGGCCCCATCCAACCTGGCCTTGAACACCTCCAGGGATGGACGGGGCATCACAGCCTCTCTGGGCAGCTGTTCCAGCCCCTCACCACTCTCTCTCTAAACAACTTCCCCCTGACATCCAACCTCCAGCTGCCCTCCCTCAACTCCAAACCATTTCCCCTTGTCCTGCTGCCATCTCCCCTTTCACAGAGCTGACTCCCCTCCTGTCTGCAGGCTCCCTTGAGGCACTGCAGGCTGCACTGAGGTCACCCCGCAGCTTCTCTTCTCCATGCTGAACAAGCCCAGCTCCCTCAGCCTGTCTTTGTAGGGAGGTGCTGCAGCCCTCTGCTCATCTTTGTGGCTCCTCTGGACCCTCTCCAACAGCTCCCTGTCTTTCTTTACTGGGGGCTCCAGCCCTGGACGCAGTGCTGCAGATGGGGCCTCACGAGGGCAGAGCAGAGGGGGACGATCACCTCCCTGTCCCTGCTGGCCGCCCCCTGCTGATGGAGCCCAAGATCCCGTTTGCTTTCCGGGCTGCAGTAGGGCGGTGCGATACGGCTCAGGGGGCCGCAATTCGAGCTCGTTCCTGGGCAAAAGCCCGACCCCCGGCACCGCTCCTGCCGGCCGCACCAGAAGGGGCCCACGAAGGACTTCGGCGCAAGGCTGGATGCCCCTCGCCCTCTCCCGCTCACAGCCTCCCAGCCGTGCCCTCACTGCTCTCCCCATCCTGTCCTGAGATGCATTTTCTTCCTTGCGCTCCTCCTATCCGGCCTCGGGCGCTGCCACGCTGCGAGGCAGCAGCTGATCGCGTTCAACCTGGTGCCAGACTCTGCGCTGGAGACGATTAACACAGTAATTTGCCCCCCTCTCTTCCGGTCCCCCTCATCCACGGCGCTCTGGCCGGAGGAGGCGGCACCTCCCAGTGCTCACAGGGCTCCAGCTCGCCACAGCACCCACAGCCAAGGCGGCAAGCCTGGTGTGGGCTGGGGAGCATGGGGAGCCCTGCTGCTGTGCCCCACAAGGGTCCCAATTCGAGCCCCACAGAGGGAGCAGTGGGGCAGAACTGCAGCCTGCAGCAGAACCAGTGACAGGCCTCCAGCAGTCACTGGCACCCAGGAACCCCCCCTACCCAGGTCTGGCTGCGCTGCGCACTGAGGGAACCACACCACATTATTCTGATCCACGCTATTTTATTCTGATCTGTACTGTTTTATTCTGATCCATATTGTTTTATTCCGGAGTCTTACAGAAGTGGGGAGGGAAGAAGGGGGTCAGACCTTCACCAGGAAACAGGGGGAGGAGGGCGTCAGATCCAGACATTAAATTACCAGGAATTAAATTAGCAAGAAAAACAAACCGTCTCGTTTCAGGAGAAAGTGCCCAAGTGCTGCACGTGGCCAGGGCTAGAAGCAACACTCAGCTGGAGCAGGACGAGCTCCCCCACCCCGGGACAGCAGGCAGAGCCCCGGCGCCGCAAGGCAGAGGCGCAGCCGCACCGCGCACGGACCGGCGGCGTCCTGGGATGCGGCCACCTTTGGTCCTTGGTTTGAGTCCCCGCCCCCCCTCGCGGTGCCTGTGGGGCTCAGGGAGCGGGGCTGCCCGCCTGCCTCCAGTGGGCTGGGAGCGCAGCCCCCCGGAGAAAGCGGCCTTCAGCCCAAGGGCCGTGGCCAAACCCTCCTGCGTCCACCCGTGGGAGCTGGCGAAGCCCCGGCCAGGGGCTGGGTGCTGAGGCCTGGGGACGGCCATCGCTGAGGGGAGTGTAGTGTGGGGGTAGGGGGACCGGCCAGGCTGGGGGAGTGCAAGAGCAGCTGCCTGGGAGCACCAGGGCTCAGCCGGAGGGGACAGGGCGGGCCTGGGGCTCGGAGCAGACAGCAGCCCCAGGACGGGACCCCGTCCGCCCCTCTCAGGGTCCAGGAGGGGACCCGGGAGTCCCAGCGCCACCCCTCTGCAGCTTCGTCTTCATTTCAAAATAAACATTTTTTTGCTGGGGGGGTGGTGCCACCTCCTGCCCGGCCCCGCAAAGCCCGGCTCAGAGCAGCGGGGAAGGCAGCTGGGACACGTGGAGCCACACGACCTCCTGCACCACGGGGAGACGGTGGGAGGCCGTAACACATCCCTGTCCCACAGCGGTGCCTGGTGGGGTCTGAGCAGCCCGGCCTGGGGAGGGAAGCGTCTGGCCCTGCGGAGTCCTGGGAAGGCAGCCACCATCCCACCGAGGGGTCTGCGCCGGGAGGGAGGGCAGGGCTGGGCAGGAGGGGACTCTGCCGGGCCGGGGGAGCTCCCAGGCAGGGGAACGGGCCCGCTCAGAGCTCCACCTGCCCCTAGCCAGGTCCCTGCCCCCTTGGTGCCCCCTGCTGCAGCAGGGCCGAGGTGCATCCCCAGCTCACCGCTCGTGACTGAGGGCTGGCCCTGCGCCTGCGCTCACAGGTCCCAGTTACGGTCCATGGCTTCCCCGGCTGGGGCACGAGGTGGGGCAGGCTGGGGGGCTCACTGCTCCTCCAGCCAGGAGGGCTTCTCAGCACCAGGGGTCTTCAGCTTGATGTTGAACTGCTTGAGAGTCTGCTCCAACTGCTGCTGGTTCCCAGCGAAGTAGGCAGAGATGGCGTTGTGAAAGAGCAGGAGCTGCTTGTGCATCACCTTGATCTGGGGAGAGCGGGAGTCAGCACGCAGCCACCCAGCCCCACTGCCCAGCACCTCGGGACAGGGCCGGGACAGGGTCTGCCCAGCTCAGAGCTGCAGCAGCCAGCTGGGAGGCGGTCACCCACCGCAGGCGGAAGGCAGGAGCGCGGGTGCCCACCCGCCCTTGCCCTCACGGCTCCCTGGAAACGCACTGAGCAGCACGGCTGCGCAGCCCCCAAGGCAGGCCAGGGACACGCGCACACAGCGGAGCCCCGTCCCGTGCCCTGCGGCCTTCCCCACCTTGTTCTCCTCCAAGAACTTGAGCTTGATGGCCACGTCGGCGCGCAGCTTTTCGTACTTGTCCTTGTGGCTCTGGAACTGGCTCTGGGCTGCGTCCAGCCGGCACAGGGTGCTGGCATCCCGGGGGCCCATGCTCAGCTCCTCCAGGTCTGTGCGGTACGCGTCGTACTCCAGCCTGCGCAGGAACCCCGGCAGTCAAAAAGCGACAGAGCGGCGCCCCCAGCACCCGCAGCCAGGCCTGCAGGCCACACTGCTGCCCTACCTGGCCGTCTCGTACTGCTTAACTGTCATGAGCGTGTCCTCCATGGTCTTGTTTACCAGCGTGTTGATACTGGACACGAAGAAGTTAACAGCTCCCAGCAGCGTTTCCCCATTCTTGCAAAGCAGTTTCTGTGTTTCTGCATTGTAACCGAACTCCTCCTGGGGCGGGGAGGAAGGTGGGTGAGGAGCCGGGCAGCACAGCCCGCCATGCCCCTGCCCTCCTATTGCCCACTGCCTTGCCCAGCCATGCCAGGAAGAGCCAGCGGCGAAAGCCCCCCACCTCTCCCCAGCCCCACGCCGGCCACAAAGCGCCTCTGCCCTCAGCCTCCTCCCGCCTTCCCTCACGTGCCCAGGGGTGCCGACCCGCGGTGCTGCCCAGGCCGTGCCGCGGAGACCCCGGGGTCAATTTGTTTCTCCTTCCCCGGCCCGGCACACACAAGGCACAGCCCCCCGGGATACCTGCAGCTCAGGAGACTTCTGGCTGAGGTCCGCAAAGGCATCCCCCAGGGCGTGCTGCGTCTGCACCAGGCTGTAGAAGTGGTTGGTGAGAGCCCGCGCCAGCTGCAGCACGCATTCGTACTTGCGCTTGGTTTCGCGCAGCAGCTCGATCTGCGTCTCCAGCTCCAGGTCCACCGTGCGGGAGCCCCGGCCGAACCTCTCAGAGAGCAGCTGCTTGGTGCACTGCGGGCAGAGCGGCCGTCAGGCCCCGCTCCCTGCCCAGCCCCAGGGCTGCCCAGATGCGCCCCCCCTGCGCCGCGGCTCCCTCAGCCCCCGCGCAGCTCTGTGCCCCGCTGAGCAGCCAGGCTGCGACGCACCTTGTATGTGTTGATGCCCCACTTCTTGACAATGTCAAACTTCTCCACGGCGATCCCACGGACAACTTCCTCCCCTCCCACCGGTGGGCCGGGGTGAGGCTGATGAAGCCCAGAGCCTGGAACACAGCACACCGACGAGACTCAGCACCGGGCCTGCACACAGGCTGGGCCGCCCGCATCGCAGCGCCCTCACGGCCGGTGCTCCCAGGGCCAGGGCCTGACACAGCGCCAGCAAAGCGGGCTCTTGCTGCAAATCCACCCTGGGCAGCCCCTCGTGATGGAGGCGAGCGGCGCCCCCCCACCAGTCAGCACTGCTACCAGGCTCAACGGAGCCCTCGGTGCTGCGATTTGTCATCTGCCTGCAGCAAGCAGGACTTGGCCTCTCACAGAGGAGAACCTGGTCCCCAAAACCTGCCTAGACATTGATAACCAAGGCCCCGGTGCTGACAGCAGTGGCTGCTGCCTATGTGGCAGGTGCTGCCCCCCCATCTGCTTGCTGAGCTGCTGGCAGGGACGGCCCTGCACGCCTGGCCTTGGTGCTCCCGTGCTGGCAGTGCTCCTCGTGCTCCTGAGCACGGTACGGCTGGGGGAGAGGCCAGGCAGGCACACGGTGCATCCCACAGCCAGACACAGCTCAGCCTCACTGCCTGGTGCTCCGTGGTTTGGAAGCGCCGTGCGCGACCCCAGCACAAGGGCTGAGAGCGGCCACAGCTGCCGGGGGAGGCACACATCAGGCTGCCCTCCACAGCAGCAGGGTGGAAGCCGACCCTGAGAAACACAGCACACATCGGGTGCCTTAAGCCGGGGCCAAAGGCCCGAGCCTGAGACAGGAGGGCTGAAAGGCTGCGTGGCACCACGGGGCGGCTGCAGTACCTGCTGAAGCACCGGCCTGGCTGGCCATCCTGCTGGCGGCAGATGCACTGGGGGAGATGGATGGTCCTCGGGGTGAGTGAGGTTGGACAAGACAGCCTGGAAATGGAGGGGCTGGCAGGAGGTGAGCAGGGAGGGAAGAGGTGGGGCGGTGTGAAAGGCACGAGGGCAGGAACAACCAGGTCACAGGATGAGCGTGCAGGAAGGATGGCAGCAGGGGAGCAGACGAAAGAGTGATGTGAAATCAGTAGGCACAGATGGCAGCTGGACAGACAGCATCGCAGCAGAGGCGCCCAGGCTCCTCTCCCGCTTCCTCCCCGTCCCCAGACCGGCGTCAAGATGCCACCAGGCTGAGAGCTGGGCCAGGCCAGGGCTGACAGACACAGGGAACCACCGCACCACGTTCCCCCCGCCACAGCAGGCTACCAGCAAAAGCCCATCTCCCCTCAGCCTGTGTCGATTCACCTGGTCAGCCTGGCACAGCACAGAAGGGCCGTGGTGAAAACAGCTGTTTGCAGCAGATGGGCCAAACTGGCCAAGAGCTGGGACAGAAACTTGTGTGAAATGGGAACAGGGTGAGAGTGACAGATGGGGCAGAGCTGCTTTGGCTGAGCTCACTGTGGCTCCAGGCGTGAAGCACCAGCAGCTCCCCACAGATACCATCCCTGCAGCACGGAGCATTTACAGCCAGGCTCAGAAGTGCCCGAGGCTCCCAGGCTGGCAGCAACAGCAAAAATGGGGCATTAAGGCAGAGTCTGGGGCTCAGCACCCCTCTGCCCTGTCCCCCTCTGCCTGAAAGGTGTCTCTCGGGCACAGTCACCACAGCTCAGCCACTGCTGTGCATCTTCAGGGCTCCTCCCCAGCACCAGAAGGATGCCCAACAGCTGAGCCCATGCATCACAGACCAGGGCCTCAGGAAAGCAGAGCAGCTCCCTCAACGGAAGCCCTGCATCTACACAAGAGCCAGAAACCTCCACAGCTGCCTGTAAGCCTAGGGCACGTGTAGGGTAGGGGTGCAGCTGGGTGGAAGTCACAGCCCCACACCAGCAGCTGGGTGGCAGCAGTGCTGTGCACTGGGGCTGTGAGGAGGCTGTGACTCAGGACAGCCTCAGCTGGGAGCAGAAACACTGCGACTGGTCCTGTCCAAGGGTGCAGCAGGGTGGCCTGTGCTGTGCTCTGCTCCTCACTCCCAGCACTGAGCCCTTCCCTAAGCCCTCCACCAGGCCACCCGGGCTCACACCTCTCACAGCCTTGTCCCCGTGGAAGCTGTTGTACCTTTGATGGCGCTGGTGGGGATGATGCCCTCAGCGGTGCCCCCGTAGCCGCCAGACACGATGCTGGTTTCGTTGAGGTTGGGCCCTGATACCATCACTTGCTGCAGGTCCTGGGGGAGCAGAGCAGAGAGTTGAGGCATAGGGACAGGCACCCGCTCCCTGGCAATGATGCGAGTCCCAGCCCAGCCCCACACCTGCTCCAGGCCATCGTCCTCAGGCAGGCTGCCTGCATCCCCGTTGCTGCTGATGGGGATCTCCATGGTGGCAGCTTTGCTCATGATCCCATCCGACATTGTCAGGGCCTGCAGGGATGCAGAGGCTGTGCACGGGGCCGGGCCTCCTCGTCCTGCCGAGGGAGGGCCGCGCACCCTACAGTTCCTGGCGCGGGGCCCGGAGCCGGAGCCAGGAGCCACGTCCGCAGTGCGAGGCAGGGCCGCGGCCAGACCGGTCAGACCGGATTCCAAGCATCAGCGCACGCTCCGGGCCGGCCCCGAGCGCCGTTACCTCGAGCTGAGCCCGCGGCCAGCACGAAAAAAGCTCCGGGCCCCTTCCAGGGCTCACAGCCGCCGCTCGGACCCCAACCGAGGCACGACCCCGGAGAGGCGGAAGAGGAGCAGGAGCAGGAGAAGGAGGAGGCTGCGGCCGGCGGCGACCCGAGCATCCACGGCTGCCAACACCAGGCAGCAACGGATCGGGGCCCGGAGCCGCAGGGCCGGGTTTCTCACAGCGCAGCCTCTGGCAGAGCCGGCTCCATTCGGCGGCCCCGGGGCTCCCAAACCGGCGCCTCCCGGGACCCAGCGCGGCGGCCCGCAGCCCCGGCCTTTACCCCGGCCCTCCCGACCCGGCCTCGCCCACCTGCACCGCCCCGGCCCCGCTGGGCCCCCCGACCCGGAGGCTCCGCTGCCCCGATCCGTTTCGGCCCGGACGCGCCGGAAGCAGCGTCAGGATCCGCGCGGGGGGCGCCGGGAGACGGAACCGGAGGTGACGTCAGATTTGGCGCCCCGGGCGGAAGTGCAGCGGGACGCGTGCGCGTCCTTACCGGAAGTGCGGCGCGGCGCGGCATGGAGGCAGCGGCGGCTGAGCAGCAGCAGCAACTCCGCAGCGTGAGGGCGGGGCGGGATGGCGCTGGGTGGGGGCGGCTCGGCTCGGCTCGGCTGAGCTCGGCTCAGCTCGGCTTGGCTTGGCTCAGCTTGGCCCGGCCGTGCGGGCCCTGTGACCGTGCGGGCCGCTGTTTTGCAGCTGCGGGACTTCCTGTTGGTGTACAACCGCATGACCGAGCTCTGCTTCCGCCGCTGCGTCTCCGATCTCGGTTACCGGCTGCTGTCGCGGCGTGAGGTGAGCGGGGCCCGGCCGGGGGGTGGCGGCGTGCGGCAGGGTTGTGCTGAGCTGTGCTGAGCCGCTCCGCCCGCAGGAGCGATGCCTGGACGGCTGCGCCGGGAAACTGATCCGTGCCAACCACCGCCTGATGAGCGCCTACGTGGCCCTCATGCCCAGCATCGTGCAGCGCCGCGCCGCCCGCCTGGAGGACGGCACAGAGCGGACGGCACCGGACGGAGCCGAAACGCCCGCGGCTCCTGACAGCTCTCCCGCGGGGCCCTCAGGCACGTAGCGGAGCCGCGGGTCCGGTGTGCCTCCGTGGCTGTGAGGTGGGTGCGGAACGGCCCGGGCCCGGCACGGCTGCCAGCGGCACGGCGGGCCCCCTAATGGCAGCCTCGGTGTGGAGCGGCAGAACTGCTGAGCACCGCGGCCGGACCGCGCAGAGCCCGGTTCTCCTCTGCGTCTGCACCGGCAGCCAGGCCTGCCCACCCCGGTGGCCTCAGCCAGCAGCAGGCTGCCAGCGCTGCGGGTAGAAAGAAGGGAATCAGTAGCAGCTGCTGCTCTGGCCAGGAGCTCCCGGTTGAATTCTCTATTGCTCCAGAGCCGGGCTCTCACTCTCCAGAACTGAGCCTTTTGTATCTGTAGGACATCATTTCATGGGGCTAATAAAACATTTCATGAGTGTTGTGCTGTTAGCGTGGCATGGAGGCACGCAGACGTTGCTCCACAAGTACCCCTGCACAGTGCATCCTGCTGGGGCAAGGGCGCCTTCCCCTGAGCGAGGGCTCACATTGCTCCACTGCTCCTTCTAGGAACCCTTCCTTACTCTGTGTCCTTGCTGCGTCAGAACAGGCTGCAGGCTCCCAGCCCTGCAGGCATTCAAGGCCAGGCTGGATGTGGCTCTGGGCAGCCTGGGCTGCTGCTTGGCGACCTGCACACAGCAGGGCTTGGAGCTGGATGAGCGCTGTGCTCCTGTGCAGCCCAGGCTATTCTAGGATTCTATGATACGACCCTACGATCAGGATGCTCTGTTCTCTAGCTTCCCCCTGATGTGTTTAATTGGCGCTTTGAAGCACAGATAAATGCACACAGATGTAAGGTCTTTAACTGCCAGTAATCAAGACGAGTTGGATTTCATTGCTTAAGCTATGGGGAAAAAACAAAAATCTGGTTAAAATTGCAGCCCCTTAAGATTGTTTTCTACTTTGTGGGCAAGGTATGGATTGGATATGTTCTCCAGCGAGTGCATAAGCTGCCTGGGGGAGCACCAAGCAGGTGGGCTCCTGCTGCACCATCACTGCCCTCCTCTCACAGCATCCCAGGCACAGCCCCGCTTCGGGGTTTTCTCCTCTCACAGGAGGCAGCCTGTGGCCACAGACCCAGCTGTGCACAGGGAGCCAAGGCTGTGGCTGCGTGCAGATAGCAGCTGTGTGGGAGGAGGGCTGGGAGCTGTGTGAGCAATGCCAGCTGTGAGCAGTGCCAGCTGTGTGAGGTGCCCACAGCACTGCAGGTGGTCGATGCTTGAAGGTGGGGATCTGACGAAACCAAATTTGGGAAGCAAAGGCAGGCATAGAAGTGAAGGAGCTGGGCCGTGCCGATGGCTACACAGGACAGCGGTGCACCAGGCCTCTTGAGGAGCCCTGGGTGTGCAGGGAGGGATGCTGCCCTGCACTGTCTGGGCTGTGCTGGGCTGCTGGAGGCAGCGTTACTGCACAGCAGATTCCCTTTGCTCAGCCCCAGCTACGGTGTGCGACACTGCACACGGGGAAAACCTTTCCTTTGGGTCTACCCTTGTGATGGAAAGGCTTCCTTTGGGTCTAGCAGCAATTTTCCATGTTCAGCACTATGTGATGTACAGCCACAGCCTGTGTGTGTCAGTGGAGAGTTGTGCCCTCCTGTCCTGGCACAGTGCAGCGTGACACAGTGAAGCCTGACATGGCACTGCACAGCACAGCACTGCACAGCACTGCATGGCACGTCTTGCCCCATCTGTAGGGCTGTTGCCTGGTGTTGGCTGAGGCTGCTGTGCTCTGCCAAGGGGCTCTGCTGCCTGTGACTCATCTGTGCTGACTGCCAGCCCCCAGCCCCTGGCCTGGCCCCCGTCCCAGCTGTGTTCCCTCATCCAGCCCATACTGCACCAGTCTGGCTGACGTACGCTGGGACTGGAAAAAGCATTGCCAGAATGAATGTACATCGAATCTGCTGTGCTCGCTGCTGCTCCCCCTAAACACACTGCAGTGTGCACTTCAGCCACGGTGTCTTTGTACTCAGTGGGCTCTGCTGCATCCTTCTTCCATTAATTTATAGATTTGCTTTTTGAACAACGCTGTACCTGCAGTCAGGTTGTCGCATCCATAGCTGCACTTAGCATGAAAACTGCTCTGCCCTCTGCCTGTGCTGCTGAGCCTTCCTGCAGCCTTCAGCCCCAAGAGAACAGACAGCGGACTCTTCCCCACCCTGTGGCTTTGGGGACCTCTTTGATTTGTGCAGCCTCAAATAAATGGGTCTCCTCCCTCTGCAGGCTCTGCTGCTCAGACCGTTCTGATGTTCTGTGCCTCTGCCATCTCCTGGAAGCTTTTCCCCCAGAGGGTGGTGAGGCACTGGCACAGGTTGCCCAAGGAGGCTGTGGATGCCCCATCTCTGCAGGCATTCAAGGCCAGGCTGGATGTGGCTCTGGGCAGCCTGGGCTGCTGCTTGGCGACCTGCACACAGCAGGGGGTTGAAATGAGATGATCGTTGTGCTCCTTTGCAACCCAGGCCGTTCTATGATTCCATGATTCCCCCGCGCAGACCCAAATTCACACTGCTGGGCCGTGCCCTGAGCCACCACTCTGCTCTGCTGCTGCCCTGCCCACAGTTAGAGCTGCGATGTGACCTGGAAGGGAAGCAGACACCTCCTCATTCCTTTTGGATGTCAGGTCCTTGGGAGCTCCACTGCTTGGATAGCAGGACTGCTGTAAATGCAGAGGCCCATGGGCTGAGATAAGGGCAGTTTGCACACGAGCAGAAGCTGTGTGTGAGTGAACAGAACCAGGAGCTGCTCGGCCCATCCCTCGCACAGCAGCGGCTGTCACACAGGAGGCGCCGTGGGGACAAAAGCCAGTGCTCTCCATGTCCCGTTGGCTCTTATTGCTGGAGCTCAGTGTAAGCACGGCTCAGAGCGTTATCAGCATTACAGCCTGCCCCAAAACGCAGCACTGTGCCTCCAGCTGGGAGGAAAACCGCAGCCAAAAGCAGGAAACCCACCGGGCGCCACCCGCATCCCCCAGTGCCACGTGCACACAGCCCCCAAACGCCCCAGGGATGGAGGCCCCACGGCTGCAGGCTGCCCCTGTGCTGACAACCTTCTCCTTAAAGAAACTCCTCCTCGTGGTTGATGAAAGCATCCTCAGCACAGCCTGGGCTGAGTAGCTGTGTATGTAGGAATCAAATCCCTGCTCCTCCTGGATTCTTCAGACACGTGATCGGCTCCACAGCCTCACCCAGACCTCAGAGCTGCGCCCTCCGTGTGTGTTGATGCACCGCTGCATTCAGGGGATCCCCTCATGCTTCCCTGGAGCTGCTGGGTGCTGTGCTGAGCCGTGCTGGGTGCTGCAGAGCCCAGGTGCACGGTGCACAGTGTGCACGCTGTCGTTTCGGTGCCATCTGCTCATTATTTCACACGTGGGGGCTTCTTGCCCACTTTCGTGGCATTGCTTTCCATTTGCTCTGGGCAGCCTGGGCTGCTGGTTGGCGACCCCGCACACAGCAGGAGGTCGATACTGGATGAGCATCGCGCTCCTTTGCAACCCAGGCCACGCTGTGATTCTGTGATTCCGCACCTCCGGGCGCTGCCTGCAGCCGGGCGGCTCTGCTGGGTGCGGGACAGCCGGGCTCCGAGCGCTCCGGACGGCGGCGGAGCTCCGTCTGCAGGCGGAGCGCAGCGCGGACATTCGCTCACGTTTGCCGGGTGGCACCGAGGCCAAAAATGGAAGCAGACCCCGTTCCTTCATCCGTAGAGCGGCGTTCCTCGCAGCACCGACAGGGCTCGCTCTGGCGTCGCGATGAGGCGCCGAGGAAGCTGTGAGGGCGCTCCGGGCAGCCGGGAGCCGAGCGCCGGGCCAGGAATGCGCGGCTCCGCACGGCGCTGCCCTTCGCCTTCCGTCTGCGAATCCCTTTGCCTCTCCCGCAGCTCGGGGTCACCCGCTCAGAACAGCTCTCAGCTGCCCGTTTCGCCGCTTTCTGTCCTTCTCTCCTCGTTCTCCTTTGCTCTCCCGCAGCCCTGCTGATCCCGAGCCGCGCGCTCGGGGCTGCGATGCCGTGAAGGGCCGCTCGGTGCGCGGGCACGGCGCGTGGGTTTGCAGGTTCCGGCAGATGGGACACAGAGGGTTTTTCTCTCTGGCTGCGAATCGCCACCATTGAGGCTGATTTGTGCTCGTGGCCGCCGCCCGCGCAGCAATTTGTGCGCAGCGTGGAAGCCGAGCCGGCGCGGGACATCGCTGCGTGCCGGGCGCTCCTGCGGGCTCCGCACGGGGTGTGCGGGATGGATGGCGAGGGCAGAGGGGGGTTGGCTTCAACGGGACCCCGCCGTGAGGAATCCGTTGCAGGGAACCCATGGCAAAGACCCCGCTGCTCGGTGCCGGCTGTGCTGGGAGGCAGCCTGGGGGCGCAGGCACAGCGCACAGCCCAGCCGGGGCAGCGCATGGACGTGGGCTGATGTGAAGCCACTGTGTTTGAATTCTATAGGCAGAGGCTGGAACCGGCCGGAAAGGAGAACATAAAAATAAAGGGACGTAAACTCACAGCGTTTGACGTCAGCTTCCAGTTCTGGACAGGACTGAGCAAATTTGGGTGTGCGTTCTGAATCCTCGGTGATGAGGTTTCAGTTTAACTGCAGCACAGAGCTCTGAGCTCCCACTGAGCTGCAATGGCAGCTCAAAGCGGGGATCCGTGTCCTTCTGTCTGTCTGCACTTTAAGCAGCCATGAACACCGCACACAGCGTTCTGGGAGCAGGTTTTGGCTCCAGACCCATTGCCTCTGTGTTTACTAACGCTGTGCAGACCGAGTGCAGCAACAAACAGGGTTTGTTAACAGCCAGTCCTGCTGCAAAAGGCAGCACAGAGATTTCCTGCCTGCTGCTCCGCGGGCGAGCGAGCACCGATGGCTTTCAAGGCCAACAGGAGAGGAGGAAGCCCTGAACAGGGCAGGGGTGGAGGCCTGGGGCCGAGATGGAAACTGAACCTGATCCAACCCACTGAGGAAGGGGGGCACAGGAGAGCACGGCAGTGTTTGTCACAGTGGGGTTATGTGGTGCCGTGAGCTGGGACACTGGGGCGAGACGGGAGGTCAGAAACAGGGAGAACAGAGCAGCAGTTGTGTCCCTTGGCTTGGGCACAGGGCACAGCAGGGCAGCGCTGCGCTGGGCTCCAGCAGCTGTGAGAGCAGCACTGCTCCATAGTGGGCTTCAGCAGCAGCCTGGACCTTGGAACACTGCAGCCTCTGGGCTGTAGAAACGATTTTCCATGGCCTTTCTCAAGGGCTCCATGAGGTCCAACAAAACCATTTTCTTTCTTTCTATTCTATCAATACCTCCTGCTCCCATCCAGTACCGGTGCCCACGGATCCCACCACCCACAGCATGGAGATTGCAGGAGCATCGCTGTGCCTGCGCTGGGTGCACGCCTGGCATAGAAGCATAAGGCTGCTCACAGCATCACAGAATGGCCTGGGCTGGAAGGGACCTCAAGGATGATGGAGCCCCAACCCTCCTGCTGCAGGCAGGGCCACCAACCTCCCCATTTAATACCAGATCAGGGGCCAGGAGATAAAAGGGCAGTGGAGAATAACCAGAGCAGTGCTGCAGCCCCTGCTCTGAGTGAGGCTCAGAATGGCAGCAGGGCTGAGCTGGGGCACAGAACAGCTGTGACCCCCAGAGCAGGCAGAGGTGCACACTTCAATCCTGCCCAGTTCCCTGCTCTGCCCACAGCTGTGTGGGCAGCACTTGCACTGATGGTTCACCCCTGAGCACAGCTTGACAAAGCAGCGTTGTGCAATACGAGTTACTTGAGACTGGTCTCAAAGAAATGCACTTGCTGGAATGCCACTTAACAGCCCTCTGCAGCTCTTGTCCAGCCTCACTTGCCAAGAATCTGAAGTTTCACAATCGCAGAAGCTGAAAAAATCTCAGTTTCTTCATGCTGGCAATGCTCTCCCATAGAGTTTAACGAAGGCTCTGTGCAGCTGTGCCAAAGTCACCTCTTGCAATGCTGGCTGCCCCTGTAGGGAGCACAAACAGCAGCTGCAGGCAGGTGGTGGCACTCAGAAGGGAGCTTTCTCTGCAGCACCTTTGGGGCTGACACCCATCGCGTTATGGCACTGCAGGGGTGATCATCTGAGGCATCATCACTTGAGACATCTGCACCGGCTGCTGCATTCATCAAGGTGTTTCTCCATGGGGATGGGAGCAGACGTTACCAGACGCCTGCACAGAGCATCGCTGCCTGCTGTGGTCACTCATGTGGATCACAGCGTCACAGAACGGTTTGGGTTGAAGGGAGCTCAAGGATCACGAAGCTCCAACCCCCCACCAATGCAGGGCCACCAACCTCCCCATCTCACAGCAGCCCAGGCTGCCCAGGGCCCCATCCAACCTGGCCTTGAACACCTCCAGGGATGGACGGGGCATCACAGCCTCTCTGGGCAGCTGTTCCAGCCCCTCACCACTCTCTGAGTAAAAGAGAGAAAGTAAAGATCTTAACCAGGCACTGCTGAAGAGCATTTCCTCATTGCCTTCATAGAAAACAAAAAGGATTTGGAGCCTCTGCAGGGGCCTATGACTGTAACATCCTCCACCAAGAGGATGGGTTTTGCCCATTAGCAATGTCACAAGAGAGGAGTCCTGCTCCTGACTCAGCTTTTAAGACAGCTCGTGTTCAGGATGAGTGCAGAGATTCTTCTCTTGAACTCTATTCCTTCACCACTGACCTTCTGCAGTTGTCTCTGATCAGTTTGGAACAGCAGCCCTGGTGATTTACGTTATTTGGGCAACACAGTTTATTCTAAAGGCAAGCAGGCAGCTTTGTTTGGCTGCCGCTGCCAAATTGCTTTTGGCAACAAGCTGGGTGGGAGCAGAGTGCAGCCACGACATCAGTGTGCGCTGCAGCCTGCACAGCATTGGAGACCTCTGCAGCTGCTCAGTGCAGAAGGAGCTCAGGAGCAGACAGACACTGCGCAGCTGGTGGCAATTGCTCAGCTGGGTGAACCTGAGATCTGCCCCATGGCTCCCATCTCACCCTGCTGCACGGCCCTGCGTGTTTCTTGCCTTCCTGCTGTTCCTTTCTGTTCTCCAGATCACAGCGTGTCTCAGTCACCCAAGGTTTGAGCTCAGCCCACCCTGCAGGAGCTGCTCACCCCTCCTGCTGCACGAGGCATTGCTGGCAGCCCGTGCTGGGCAGTGCTCCTGTGTCCCTGTGAGATGCCTGGATGCACTTGGAGCTGGCTGTCTGTAGCATTATAGGCTTGGGGACGAGTGGCTGGATGAGTGTGAAGATGAAGGAACCTGGGGTGTTGGTTGGTGCTCGGCTGAACACGAACCAGCAGTGTGCCCAGGTGGCCAAGAGGGCCAGCAGCATCCTGGCCTGCATTAGAAATGGTGCAGCCAGCAGGAGCAGGGAGGTGAGCATCCCCTGCACTCAGCACTGGTGAGGCCGCACCTCGAGTGCTGCGTTCAGCTTTGGGCTCCTCACTACAGGAAAGATGTTGAGGGCCTGGAATGTGTGCAGAGAAGGGCAATGAAATGGTGAGCGGTCTGGAGCACAGGGCTGATGAGGAGCTGAGGGAGCTGGGGTTGTTCAGTGTGGAGAAGAGGAGCTCAGGGGAGACCTCAGTGCACTGTACAACCTCCTGAAGGGGGGCTGTGGTGAGGAGGGGTTTGGCCTCTTCTCCCAGGCAAGGATGAGGACACAGGGAAATGGCTGCAAGTTGTAGCAGAGGAGGTTCAGGTTGGACAGGAGGTTCAGGCTGGACAGGAGGCAGAACGCTTTCTCTCAGTGCTCAGGCACTGCAGTGGCTGCACAGGGAGGTGGTGCAGTCGCCGTCCCTGGCGGCGCTCAAGGGGCGCCTGGAGGAGGAGCTGCGAGATGTGGTTTGGTGCTGGGGGCAGCCGTGGTGAAAACAGTGGGATGGATGACCTTACAGGCCATTTCCAACCTTTTGATTCTATGATTCTATGTCTCAGCCCTTCTGCTCCTGAGGAGCTCCTTACAGAGGTCACGTTATGGATGGAGACACAGCGGCACAGAGCCTGGCTCAGCCACGCCTGGGCATCGCACTGCAGCTCCTGCCTGAACCCCAGCACCTCCCTGCCCCTCTGCAGGGCTGCCCCCACAGAACAAACATCCACCTGTAGGAGTTGGGTGCTATGAGTCTGGGGAGAGGCGAGGCTGGGGAAGCGTGCACCTGCTTCACACAGACAGACCTTGGCAGCAGAGCTTAAACCATCTGCCCTCTGGAGGAGGCAGGAAATGGGGCCATTCTGGCACCGTACCCAAGGATGAGGCAACTTTGGAGGTCCAGATGTGTACCCAGCAGCCCCAGTCCCACATTCATCCTCCTGCAGGACTCGCAGGATGTGCTGCAGGCAGCCCTGAGCCACACCACACCCCACCTCCCGTGCTGTCACCACCTCTGGCCACCCACCATCCATGCTTGCAGCAGGTAGGAACCAGCAACGGTACCAGGGCTGCAACAGGGCTGCAGAGGAACAGACAAGAGATGGAAGCCATCTCCCGGAAAGGACGACCCCAGAATCAGCTCCTGCTGGAAGCACGGATGCTGTCTGGCTCTGTGCACCTGGAGCAGGGGCAGCCATCTGCTCTGCCCCACCATCCCACAGCAAGGATGCCTGCCTCGGCCACGGCTGTGCTGCAGCAGCAAGGTCCGCATCAGCAGCTGTAAATGCGGCCCTGTGCTGTGCATGCAGTGTCGTGCCGCAGCAGGAGCTCCCACATCACATCTGCCCCGTGCAGGCCTGGTGTCTCAGCAGAGCTGGGTCAGCCCAAGCCCAGAGCTCAGCATGGCTGCTCCCACAGCAGCAGTCCTGCTCCCCAGCACGGTGGGGCTGTGCTCACTGCAAGGTGCCTCCAGCTGACTGCACCCCTTACTCACTCCATTGCAAGGCTCCCATCCTTCCCCCTTCCTTTCTCTGGACCGGAGCAGAGCTCAAAGGAAGGGCCTCACCCGCCTCTGCTCCCCCTCTGCTGAGGCCACATCACCCCAGGACACAGCTGGGTAAGCGGCAGGCTGTGCTACACGCAGCGCTGCCCTGCGCCCCCCCAGCACCGCGTGCTCAGTGCTGTCAGCAAAGCCACTCAAAATTCAGCTGAACAGGAAGGACTCCGTGCAGAGGTGCTGCCCTGGCCAAGAACACGCAGCAGAGGAGAGGCAGGAGAGCCCACAGCCCCCTGCTCCTCTCTTGAAACCTACCAGAGGCGATGCGGCCGCTGCTCCTGGACACAGGAGCCCCAGGGAGGGCCCACGGAACAGCAGGGGGGAGAAGCAGGCTCCAGGTACAGAAATAAATCGATATATTAGCGCGTACAAAACATGCTGCTTCCTCTGTACAGTGCCCCAGCTGGGCGCAGGCTCCCCCCAGGGAGTTCACACATATATAAATAAGGCCCAGATGGCTGCAAACAGTATTTACAGAGCGCGGGGAGCTGAGCGCCTGCTCCGGGGCCAGCCCCACCAAGACCAGCTGCTCCGCCCGGCCCGCGGGATCCTCCCTCCCAGCCTGCATGGGCCGGCTTCATTTCAGGTCCACATCGAAGTCCAGCACCAGCAGCTTGGTCTCCTCTGTCCCGTTGCGGCTGCCCACCGCGCACACCAGCTTGGTGTTGGAAGCTCGGATGCGCCACACCACGCCGCCGCTGCCCCCGCTCTCCAGCGCCACCAGATTGCGCACAAATTCGCCCGTCTTGAGGTCCCACAGCTTGACAGTGCCATCATCCGAGCTGGTCACCACGAACTTGGAGCTGAACTGCAGGCAGGTCACGGCGCTCTGGTGCTTGCTGGGCCCTGAGGGGCAGAAGGCACCCGTGAGTCCCCCCGTGCGCCCAGCTGAGCCCCAGGGCCGCCCTCTGCTTGGCCCAGCTGGGCAGCGTCCATCCTGCCCCGCCGTGCCCGCTGGGTGGGAACACCTTGGCCCTGCCCCAACATCCCTCCCACCCGCTCTCACCCTGCAGTGTTTGCAGGCACTGGCCCGTCTTGATGTCCCAGATCTTTACTGTGGAGTCAGCGTTGCCGGACACGAGGATGTTGTCACGCAGCTCCATGCCGCTTGTAAGCGACTGGTGCCCCATGAGGGTGTGTAAGCAGTTCCCACTTTCTACGTCCCACACTCGAATGGATGTGTCCAGGGAGCCGCTCACGATGTGCGTCCCATCGAACTGCCAGGGAGACACAGGTCAGCGGGGCTGAAACAGGAGGGGGCTTTCTCACAGGGCCACAGAACATCCCGAGTTGCAGGGCACCCACACACATCGTCGAGTCCAATCCGCGGCACCGCAGCGCCACAGGCTGGGCACCACAGCCAGCAGCGAACCCAGGTGGCACCACGGCCCAGCAGGGCGCCTCAGCAGCACCGTGCCCCCAAGGAGCAGCACGGCCTGCGGGTTCCTTCGGCACACAGAGGGGTTCGGATGGAGAGGCAGAAAGCGTCTCACGCAAAGCACCATGCGGCACAGAGACGGCCTCTTCTAAGTGTCAGAACAGACAGCTTGGTGCCCCTGCAGCAGGCAGGCGAGGGGAGGGGGCCAGGCTCTCACCTGCAAGGAGTAGACGCGGTTCGTGTGCCCCTGCAGCGTGTGAGTGCAGCTCTCGCTCTCAGGGTCCCACACTTTCACTGTGTAGTCGTAGGCGCCGCTCACCACCTTGTGCCCGTCGTACTGCACGCAGCGCACGGCGGCCACGTGCCCCATCAGCACGTGCAGGCACTGCCCGGTCTCAATGTCCCAGAGGCGCAGAGTGGCGTCCCGTGAGCCACTCACAACCCTGGGAGCAGAGCAGTCTGTGTCAGCTGCAGAACTCCCCCAGCCCAGCTGCACCCTGCACACCAGCTGCCCCAGGGGCAGCCAGCTCACCTCCCCCCCCAGGAAGCCCCTCTTTCCCCTCTTTCAACACAGCAACCAGCCCAGGCCAGAACACCTCTGTGCTTCCACCCGCCCCGGATCCCGGCCCCAGACCGGCTCAGCCCCTAACAGCTCCTCACCTTCACCTCCCCCACACCTCACACCGGGCCCAAATTCCTTCTCTCCCGTACCTGTTGCCATGCAGGTGCATGCAGCGCACGGTGGATGTGTGCCCATACAGCGTGTGCACGCATTCGCCCGTGTCTGCGTTCCACACTTTGAGCGTGCGGTCCGTGGAGCCGCTGATGACAATGCTGTCCCTCATCTGGGAGGACCAGACCCCCCCCGTGTGGCCGACGAGAGTCTGCACGCACTGCAAAGAACAGTGAGATGGGAGACCTTCGTTTGGGAAAGGCTGAAAGACGTTGCAAGAGGGGACAGCAAAAGGCGGGCCTTGCTCTGGGTAGGGGGCTGTTTAAGGCTCTCAGGTCAGCAAGCCATCTCCCTGCAAACTCAAGTCCCCACCAAAGTTCTCCCAGAATGATTGCTTGCTGTTCTAAAACTAGTTGGGTTTCTTGCCCTTGTCTTCAAAAGGGCGGCCCACATTTGCTGACCTCCAGTGAAAAAGCACGCAGCCAGCTCCCCATCATTTGTCACCGCCCAGCACTGATTGCTACCATCAGATGCCTCTCCCCACTGCTCCTGCAGTCCCAAGATCTGCCAGCACCTCTCCCCAGCTGCACCTTGCCAGACCAGACAAACCCATCAAACCACCACGCCTCTCCTACCTGCACCCACCCCACAGCAAGGCAGACGAGCAGCACAGCTCCCCCAGCAGCCGCAGAGCAGCGCTGCGATGGCTCAGGACAGCCACCCACCTCCCCAGTGACAGCTGACCACACTTTGAGCGTGTTGTCGTCCGAGCCGCTCACAATCCGGTTGCCACAGAACTGCAGGCAGGTGATGACGTGGTCATCGTGTCCCTTCAGCACCTGAACAGAAGACCGGCAGTGAGCAGGAAGGCGTGAGTAAGAACAGATGGGCCTTGAGACAGTGGCAGGGCAGCAGCTGCAGCAGGAGCCAAAGGAGACACGAGGGGGGTGATGGGCTACAAGGGAATTCCAACCCAAGGATTGATTCTCCTGACCGTTTAGCTGCGTGAGCTTTGAGCTCAGAGCTGATGTTCTGACCTAGACCCAGTGAGACTGAACACATTTAAGACCACAAGTGCCACCTTCCCTGGTGGCAGACAGTGCACCAACATCTCCGCATCCACTCCCATCTTCCCAGCAGCAACGTGGCAGCAGGCAGAGGAAGCGGGCATGACTGAGCCCCGCACAGGAGCAGAGCCCCAAGCAGCAGCAGGCAGAGCTGGCTGAGCACAGCAAGGGACGGCTGGGATGGTGGCCAGCGCAGAGCTGCCCCTTGGTGAGGGCACAGTGTGGGAGACGTGCCCTGCTGGCAGGGCCCCACGCAGCTCTGCTCACAGCAGTCGCAGCAATGGGTGCTGGGGACTCAGCAAGGGCTGTCTGGGAAGCCAGCTGCAGAGGTGCAGTCACAGCAGCAGGTACAGCTGTTGTTCCCTGTGAGGGCACAGGAAAGATCCCGGGGACTCTGGGGGTCCAGAGAAAGTCCAGGGATGGAAAGCAGAGAGGTGGAGGTTCTCTCCTGTGCGACCTCCCACAGGTGACCAAGACTTTGCTCTCCTTGCTTTGTGGATGGGGACTAGGAGCAGGAAGGGACTTGGGTTTTATCTCTTTCTCCAACAGCAAAGCGCTGTACAACACACTGTGGGATGCTCTGGAGACAAGGCCTGGATGAGCTTCAGAAGGTTTGTATGACTCCCTGCACGCCAAGATCAGCTACAGCCTTGCAACACGCACTCTGAGAAGGGATGAAGAGGTGACAGACTCCTCTGGAGTTAAGGGCAACCCCTTTTCCACTGGCAGAGCTGCAGCCCTGCACCACCTATGGCAGCCGTCCCTGACAACAGCTGTGCTGTGGATCTGCTCTCTGTAGGCAGGGACAGGAGTTGCAGGAAGCTACAAAGGAAGTATTTGAATTTAAATACTTTAAATACTTCTTACACCTCCTGAAGGCAGGCCGGACAACTACAGCTTTTCCCGAGGCAGATTTCAAATGCCTACTGCTGATCTCATCCCATTGGCCAGGGATATTTTTCTGCTGCTTCCTCCTTATACCAGCTTCCTACACGTCTAGAATCTGCTCCTCAGCAAACGCTGCTGAAGGCACCCACCTTGGGGGCTTTAAGCTCGCCGCTGCGCCAATTCATGTCGATTTTGTGCTGCCGCATGAAGGCGAATTTCCAGGGGCTGTACATGAATCCAGGGCTCAGCAGGCGCCGCTTACGCAGGTTCAGGGGCTCCTCAATGCCTGTGGGAACAAGCAGCAGCCTGACACACAGCCCCCAGCGATACGCAGGCTGCTCGGGGCCCCAGCCCAGCAGGAGCAAAGATGATGCACGGCAGTGGCAGCTGCGAGCGGCTCCACTGCAGATCCCAGCCGCGGCTGCAGAGAGCCTTACCTTCCTCGCGGCACTTCTCCCTCCAAAGCAGGTTGTCTTCAGCCAGCACCCTCCAGTAGCGGCAGGTCTGGGCAGCGCGGAGCAGATCCCGAGGCTCCAGGAACGAGAGGACGTAGAGCGCCAGCTGCGGGACCAGAAGCCAGGTCACAACAGGGCGGGCTCCCACGGCTGGTAACACGGCATTGGGCCAGCTGGCTCTCGCCTCGACTCACCTCCTTGGGCAGCAGTGAAATGAAGTCTCTCTGAAACTGCGGCTCGATGACCTGCATCATGTACTTGATTTGGGAGGGCTCGCAGCGGTCGATGAGCTCATCCAGAGCCAGCAGCTTCTCTGGGCCGCTCCAGCGCTGAGGACAGGGACATCAGTCACTCTGCCTGCACGCACCGCAGGCCCTCGCAGGCTCCCCGCAGCTGTGCAGTGCCTCCATCCAACCCAGCCCCAGCAGCGATACCAACCAGCACGGCAGCAAGCGGGCTGCTGGTGAGCACAGCCCCTGGAGCCGGCCAGGGCTGCAGCACAGAGAGGAGCACAGAGATGGGGCTGGGAACTGCACTATTGAGGTGTGATCGGACACTGGTGCTGCGCAACGGCTGACAAAGCAACGTCAACTTGGAACAAAAAGGCAGACTGCCCAGTGGGAACGAGAGATGGACCACTTCTGTACGCCTTGAGCCAAGGGCAAAACCTTGCTGAAACTCCGCTGCAGGACCCAGAACCGCTGCGTGCAGCAGGGATCAGCAGACAGGCTCATTAGACAGGCCCTGGCTCCCTCACAGCTGCCCTTCAGACCCGCAGCTCCCTGGTGCCCCCTGAGGCAAACTTTACCTGGAAGGTGCGCAGCCAGTCCTGCAGCTCGGGAGGAGGAGCAACGGAGGGGATGCGGCGGCGCCGGGCCTGGGCAGCTTTGGCATTGCGCAGATCCCCAAAGGTGGTGGTGGGACTGGGCGTGCAGGGCCCCAGCGTCCTGCATCACAGCCAGGGAGAAACCAAAGCAGAGGTGAGATGTCCCAGTGCTCCTGGACCGCAGGACGCAAACAACTCCCAGAACACCAGCGCCCACATGAACGAGGAGCCTCCCGCAGGCCAACCCCTGCTCTTCTCATCTCCACACGGACCACAGCCGCACAGCAGTCCCACAGCCACGCACACACAGACCTTTACACCAACCTGCTCTCTGTAATAACAGAATTGCAGACGGGCTGAGGCTGGAGACACCTCTGGAGGTCACCTGGTCCCACCCTGCCACCCAGAGCTGCCTGAGCAAGACCAAATCTAGGCAGCTTCCGCAGACCCCCAGGCAGGAGAGTCCACCACAGCAGGAGGACTCCAGAATGAAACCCAGGGGCTGTTTGGGACTACAGAAAGGAGGCCCCTCCTCTCCCCAGGTCAGCTCGCCGTGCGCAGCGCTCATCTTACCTGCTGTACTCTGAGCCCTTGCACAGCTTTTTACCAGGAGACAGCGCTCTGCCATCCAGGCCGTTCTCTGACTTCCGCTTCATCTGCAAGACAACGGTGAGGTGACACAGGGTGGAGCACATTCTGTGCACATTCTGGGTCACTGACTTTCTGAGAAGAGCATGAGAAGAACAGACCCAGCCCAGCCCGTCTTCCAAGACCGCGCTCATGCTGAGGACCTGCAGGGGAAGCTGAAGGCCATCTGAACTCTGCAGCAGGCAGGAGTTCACTTCTGAAGAGGTTTAACAGAACCTGGTCTTTCTGAGGGGAACATGAGGCTTATCCAGGAAAGATCAGCAGACAAAGCACCCAGGGACAAAAGGAGCAGCTGAGAAAATGCCTGCTTAGCCTTTAGGCACAGTCCAGCAAAGAGCAGGCAGTCCTGCAGCCAGGCCAGTCGCTCAGAATCACAGAATGGCCAGGGTTGGAAGGGACCTCGAGGATCATGAATCTCCAACTCCGCTGCCACATGCAGGGCCATCAACCTCCCCATTTAATGTTAGATCAGGCTGCCCAGGGCCCCATCCAATCTGGCCTTGAACACCTCCAGGGATGGGGCAGCACCCCACGCTGTGCCTGACAATGCAAGGAAAGCCGTGCTGGGACGTGCAGCAGTCCATACTCCAACATGGCTGCATCGCAGGAATCAGCATCCTTCTAACTCCACACAAACAGCACAGGATTAACAGCAAGTGCAAATGGAGCGGGGGACGACTTGCAGTGCTAACAGACAACAGAAAGCAAGCAAGGGCTGCTCCATCCCAGGCAGGAGCAGAGCTCCTTCCCTCAGCACTTAGCGCAGCACCACCCGCAGCCCTGCGTACAGGCTGGCCTCTGCCTGGCCCCCACACAACCCATTCCTTGAGAACAGCTCTGGCACCATCACAAAGGGACCCCAGCACAGAGCAGGGCATGGCTGGGGGGCGGCCAGCAGTGCCTGGATGAGCTGGGGCAGCGCTCCTAGAAGTGCAGCCATCAGACCCGAGCCGCTGCGCAGCCCCAAGGAGCATCCCAGAGGCACCCAGGCAAGCACACCCCCACCTGCAGCAGCATCTCAGCGCACTGCTGTGGCACGTGGGCCACCAGCACCAGCGCTGCGGCACACAGCAGGATCCAGAGCCACCAGCTGTGCTGAGATCACAGCAGCACGGCCGTGGCGGCTCCCAGGAGGCAGCTCTCCCACAGACGAGCCTCTTTTCCCCATCCCTCCCCCAGGGATCAGGCCGGCACACGCAGCCCTTCGCCCCAGCGCCGCTACCTTGGGCCGCACGTGGCGCAGGAAGCCGCTGTCCTCCGTCCGCTGCAGGTAGTCTATCCAGCGCTCGCCAATGGTGTAGTAGAAGTAAACGTTGCCGCCATCTTCCCCTTCCTCACTGCAGCAGCTCCCTTCCTCCTCTTCCGTCTCCTCCTCCTCCTCTGGCTCTCCGCAGGCCGTGCAGCTGACTGCTTCCTGCTCCCCCTGCCCCTCAGAGCCGTCGGCCTCCAGCCCTGATTCCGCGCTTCTCTTCCCAGCACGCTCCAGCTCCCAGGGCCCCGACACATCTTCCTCCTCAGCCACTGCCTATGGGACACAGATACAGGGTCAGGTCTGCTGGCCCTGGGGTAGTCGCCGGGGTCTCAACGGCAGCACACAGGGGCAGCTGACCAGAACAGGGGCCCAAAAAGGGAGCGGAGAGCAGGGCAGAGCTGAAGATGGGAAGAGAGGAGCAGACGGCAGAGCCAACGTGCTGCCCCGGGTCACAGGCAGCCACAGCCCAGCAAGGTGTGCAGACAGGAAGCTTCCCAGCCCAGAAGGAGAGCGCGGCTGCCACGCGACCAAACGCCAGGGCCGAGGCACCAAGCACCTCTGAACTCACCTGCAGCAGCTCCACTCTGCACAGCCAGCCCCTTCCTGCTGCCGCTGGGAGCAGCGTTCTGCACCACAGAGCACAAGGCAGAGCTGCTGCACACAGGGCTGCCCTGTCGTCAGCCCTCACTGCAGCACCCAACCACACGGCTGCACCAACGCAGCCCAGGGCTGAATCGCTGGAAGGCGTGCACTGCATCCCCCTGTACCACCTGCACCTCTTCTCCCCCAAAAAAGCAGCGCTAAAACATCACACACACAAAAAAGCAAAAGCATTCAGCAGCCTTCTAGAAGCAGCAGAACAACATCTTGTGTCACAGGAGGAGGAGGAACTGTTTTCCAATGCACTAAGAGCAGACCTCACCCAGCAAACCAGGGTTGTTTGCACCAGTCTCAGACAATTGATAGTACAAACAGATCACTGGCTCACAACCACCATTTCAAATAAAGTTTGGCATACAGGAGGAACTGCAAAGGTCAGGAGAGTGCGAAAATTATGCCAGAACTGAAGAAAGCAGAAGGCTGAGGCTGTACAGAGCTGGACATCTGGCACCAGAGGGGCTGACTGCATTGGTAAAAGGTAACAGGGACCAGCTGAGCAGGCTTTGAAAATTCACCATTTCAAATAAAGTTGCTTTTACTCCTTGGAAAGTTCCACTGGGTTAACAAAAGCCATTACATAAAAGGTGTGGATGAGACACAGCCACAGAGGCCCAGGGCGCAGCCTTCTGACCCAGCACCTGGGAAGGGCTGTGCAGTGAGACAGGTTGCACCAGGGCAGCCAGCACTGCTGACTGAGACCCCAGAGGTTCCTGTCACTGCGAAACCTCAGTGCCTGCTGATGGACCTTACGTGGGCCCAGGAGAGGGGCGAGAATCCACAACGCAGTGTCTGTTTTGCTCATGATAGGAAGTAAATGATGTTTTCCTGATGATATTTTGAGATCGACATCTCATAGGAAGCAAGGAAACTCATCCAGGGATCTGAGTCACTTGGTATGCTGGGCTCGCTCAAATACATCTCAGCACACCCAGAGGCAACGCTCTCCATCTACAGACAGGAAGAGCCGGACCAACAAGGCGCCAGGGGCTGCACGTCCCACAGAGCAGCAGCTGACGAGGACTGGGGGGCACTCGGCACAAACTTCAGGCTCCAAAGTCCAAGCAGACAGGAGGTGCAAGCAGGGAAGCACCGTCACCCCTCAGCTGCTCCACACACCCGAGTTGTGCAACGTTCAATCCACGTTCTACAACAAAACGCTTTAAACGTGAAGGTATGGTCAGCTCTTTCCCAGAAATGACTCAAAGGTGAAGAAAATATCTTGGAGGAGGAGGAGGAGGAAAGAAATGAGGAGACGGTTTGGTTACGGCACAAAAAGTTACTCGTGGAAGGAAAATCCTTGGTGCTTTCAGAGGCTCCTAGCAGGCACTGCAGCATCGAGTGCAGCGAGGACTGGGCTCATTCACATCAGGGAACAAAGCCCTGGCTCCCCACGGCGGGGGCAGGCTGCCCACCACTCAGCAGGGCACAGGGCAGGGCTGGAGCCGCCGCAGCCCTGCCTGGATCCACCTCTCTGGGAGGCAGAGCCCCAGTTTCTCAAGCTCTTCCTCCAGTATTCAGAGCTGGGGCTCAGGGTGGGGTGCTGACAGCACGCTGCTGGGCAGCACCAGGGAACCCCGAGCCATCAGCAACACCTTCCAGGCAGACAAACGCCTTCCAGCAGCCCCTCCGCCTCCAGCAATAAGTCTGAGGCCTTAACTGGGCAGAGCCTTCCTGCCTCCTGGGGAGCTTCCTCACACCACGAGGGCCGGCAGCAGGAAGATGTGCTTCCCGAAGCCCCCAGCGCCAGGCAGGCAGCATGCTGGTTGCTGCTCATGCAGACGAGAGCAAGAGGGCAAAGACCTTGGATAGGGATGGACTCCGGCCCCTCCAGCTGCCAGCCTAGAGGAAGAGCTGCCGTCCACACCCAGTTCTGGCCTCTTAGGATGAACAATTAGTGGAACTCAACAACTGTCTGCAGCAGGCTGCCAGTGGAGAGCTGCTCTGGGGCAGGGGAGGCAGCCGTAAGCTCCGCGTGTTTCCGGAGTCAGAGCATTGCTTCTGTGGGCTGCACCACAGAGCAGCTCCAGCAAGAGGCACGCAGGCACCACTGCTCACCCCACCAGAACACAGAGCGGGGGCCACAAAACCTCTGCTGCTGGGATGCTCCCCAGGCCCCCTGCTGCCTCACAGGGCACAACAGACCGCTCAGTAGCTCGCAGGGTGAAGCCTCCTCGTCACAGGGGCCAAAGCGGGTGCACCTCCCGACCAGTAAATCTCCCTGTGCCTGCACCAGCCTCTTCCCAGCTCCTGCGCCGCTGCAGGCAGGCAGCATCCCCTCCCCATCGCATAGGAAGGTCGCTTTCTTTTCCTACCTGAGGCACAGGAGCTTTGCTGTCCCCCAGCAGAGCAGGGCTCACCCTGACGGCTTCCTCGCTGCTCGGCCGCCTTCTGCAGGTCATCCGCTGACTGTTCAGCTCCAGGATGCGGGTGGTGATGCCTTTGACGTGGAGAAGGTCATCGAGCGAGTTGAAGCCCTTCAGCTCCTGCCAGAGGAAAAGTGAGACTGAACAGAGCTCAGGCACCGGGGATCAGCTCCAGGCAGGACCGGGGTAACCAGTGCCCTTGTCCTGCTGCCTCCTGGCAGGTGATCCCAGACCCACCAGCTTTCATTTCATTCGCAGCCACGGCTCCCTTTGCTGCTTTGGGGCGCGTGGGGAAGGAGCTGGGCTGCTACAACGGAGTGGTACCTCTGTATTTCACGTCATTACTACCAAACCCATTGGAGGAACAGAATGGTTTCTGCCAGATGAGGCTTCTCCCAGCCCAACTGTTTCCACAAACTCTGCCTGTCCTGAGCAGTAGTGACAGTACGGCACAGACTCACAGGAAAGGTAACAGAATCATAGAATTACTAAAGTTGGAAAAGGCCACTAAGATCATCACCCCATCACCTCCATACCCACCACACCACGTCCCTCAGTGCCTGGAAAGGACCAACAAGAAGCACCTTCTGACCTGCTGGGGTGTGCTGGGTAGGTCCCAAACACAGCCAGGCCATGACAACCAGAGGAGTTACGAGGGAACTACTGCATTTAATTGTCTCGTGGGACAGTCCTGCTTCATTGACAACCAGCCCGTCTTTCCCAACGCAAGGCTTTGATACAAACTTATTTTTCACAAACTTGTTACTGTGAGCTCACTAGTTTACCTCGGCTGGTGCTTTTTCTAGCAGGTGGCCCAAAAGCAAACAGCAGCAGCTCAGGATGGGGAATGACGTCCTCTAGCACTGATGCCAACACCAAAGTGCATTTGCTGGCCCACACGGCCAAACTCCAACAGCTGGAAACATCCCTGGCCTCCCGCTGTACGCTCACGGTGCCCAGCACAACCCCCACCCAAGTCCTGCCCAGCTTCCTGCTGCCCACCATCGCGCCCTTCACAGCCTGCACGCTGTTTCTGCCACAAAGCAGAAGGCTCTCAAAGCACCCGGGATGGGAGCAGGATGGCAGCAGCTAACACAGCTGTCAGGGCAAAGGAAAGCTCCCAGCCTTGCTGCGTGTTCTCACGACACCTTTCCTCCTTATCCCCAACAAACAGCGTTATCCCAAAGCGCCGTTCAAACGACAGCCCTCATTCCTATGAATCCGCCTTCCCCTATTCCCATACCCGCAGCTCTTTTGTTTCAAGGGCTGCTTCTCTTCCACCCCCACACTGTTTACACCCCTGCTGTATTTATAGCCGCTGACCCTGCATTCTCAGCTCCTCAGTTCCAGGCCAAAAAAAGCCAAGCTCCTCCAGCCTCCTCCTACCAGCCCAGCCTTCCTCCTCCCGGTTCCTCCCACCTCGCTGTTCGGAGGCTCCCGGCAGGGATGCCGCGTTCCGGCCGCGACCCCGCGGGCGCTTTCAGCTACAAACGCCGTTCACCTTCCTGCCGCGTCCCGCACGCACACGTCCCTTCCTCTGCGCTGTCACGGAGGCGGCTCAGCCACGTCGGGACGGATCGCCGCACGCAGACACCGCTCCTACCCCGCTCCGTCATCGCCCGGCGACGGCCCGGTCCAGGCAGCACCGGCCTCCCAGCGCACCGTGACGGCGCTTCCCGCGCCCCCCGAGCCGCCGCTCAGGCTCAGCCCCGACACGGAGCCGGGCGGGCCGGGGCCGCTCCGCGCCGACGGGAAGAGCGGAGCCGGAGGACGGGGAGGGCAGCGCGAGGCCCGTCCCGGACCCTGCGGTTCCTCCGCCCGCCCCGAGGCCGAAGGCGGCGGACCGGTCCCGTCGCGACCCCTCCTTTCCCGCAGCCCCCGCCCGGAGCCGCACCTCTCTCTTCCGCACGATGCCGCGGGCGCGGCGCCGCCCGATGCCGCTGAGCGCTCCTTCCAGCTCGGCCACCCCGGCCCGGTTGATATCGAGCTTCCCCCCGCCGGGGCCTGGCCCCGGCCCCGGCCCCGACATCGCGGCGCTGCCTGCAGCCGAACAGGCCCGCCCGCACTGCGCAGGCGCGACCCCGCCCGCCCCGCCCATGCGCGCCAGCGAGGCGGTCCGACTGCACGGAAACGGCCATTTATTGACAACCGCGCGTGCGCACCGACGGCGCCCGGCGCCGCGCCCCGCCCGCGGGAGGCCCCGCCTCCGTTCGCGCCCGGGAGCCCCGCCCGCTCCTCAGCGCCGCTCGGCGCAGGCCGTGCCGGACGGTCCCCCGTCGGCTCCGGTCGCACAAACGAGCCGGAAACTCCGCCCCTCGCCGACGCCGTGCCGGAAGTTTCCTTTCTCGCCAACTGCCGGAAGTCCCGCCCCTTGCCGAGGCTGTCCAGGAAGTTCCGCCCTCAGCCCCGCCTCTCGCCGAGGCCGTACCGGAAGTTCCGCCGCTCAGCGCCGTTTGTACAGGCAGGGCAGCAGCCGCAGTCCCGCGCAGGGCCGGCGTCGCGGCGGCCCGGCCTTGGTGAACTCCAGGAGGTAGAAGAAGGCGCTGGACAGGTCCTGCGGGCCGCGGGGTCAGCGCCAGTCGGCCCGGCGCCGCACCCCGCCGCCCTCAGCCCCGCGGCCCCTGCGTTCTCCCACCCCGACCCCGGCTCCTCCCCGTCCCATCCCAGCCCCGCACCCCCAGCTCCCCCCTGTAGCATCTGCGCTCCCCAAACCCTAAAATGCGGCTTCCCCAGGCCCGCATCCCAGCGTGCCCCGCACCTCCCAGCCCCGCACTCACGACCCGTGGCTGCCTCCCTACCCCGTCCCAGCCTCCTATTCCCCGCCCATTCTGCCTTCCCTACACGGTCGCTTGCCAGAGCATCGCACTGCAGACCGTGCGCTCCAGGGACCCTGAAAGACCCACCTTGCTGACGCTCCTGAAGCCCAGCTGAGCCATTCCATTCATGAAGGCTCGGAGGTCCTCAAAGCGGCTGGCAACCTCGGCCACCATCAGGGTACCGCTGCAGGGACAGCACAGCATTGAGGGGTGCCAGTGCAGGCACTGCCCAGGGCTCCCTTGCTGCCCGGCACACAGCTCTGCCTACCCCTGCTTCAGCACGCGGTTGGCTTCCTCTAGGATCTCCTGCAGGTTGGTGCCCATCAGCGCCAAGCAGAAAACTGCAATGTCCACTGACTCATCTGCCAGCGGCACCTGCAAAGAACCAACAGAGTGAATGGGGCCTGTCCCCACCCTTGGCATTCCCTTGACTCAGATTCAGCTGAGCACCTTCTCAGAGAGGGAGCCCCAAATAGCAGCACCCCATGTTCAGAACATACAAGCATGGAATTCCCATCGACTTCCAGCAGGTGCTCCCAACCATCCTCTTGTGCTCCCCACGTGATGCCCATCCCATACCCTGCTACCTGACAGGCAGCCTCAAGCACACAGCCACCCTGTGGACCTCCAGGAATTACAGAATCCCAGGAAAGCAGGGGTTGGAAGGGACCCCTGGCAATCTCCCTACTTTAACCCCCAACAGTGGAGGTTAATAGGAATAACAGGAAATAAAATAGGAAAGTTCTCTAGAGCAGGCTGCGCAGGAAAGCATGCCAGTGGATTTGAGTATCTCCAAAGGTTTTCCTTCTGTGCAGCTTGTGCCCGGGCTCTGGCAGCCTCGCTGTCAGTAAGTTCTTTCTCGTGTTCACATGGACCTCCCAGTTACGGTTTTGTCCATCATCCCTTGCCATGTCACCAGGCACCACAAGGATGCAGTCTGTCACTACGAGTACAACCACAGCGCAGCCCACACTTACAGCTCTGCAGCTCCTCTCTGAGCACACACAGCACACCTGGCTCCTTGGTGCACCAGTCGCAGCACAGCCCCTTACCTCAGCCATGTCGCAGACGGTGACAAGCGGGCTGAGCGGCACCAGGTCGAAGCAGTGCACCTTATTCCGGACACTGCTGGCAATCTTGCAGTCCCCACATCCAAAATCTGCCACGACCAGCGAGGCTGACCTGCAGGGGCACAGAGCTGGTAACGCTGCACCCACCTTTGTGCCCCCAGCTCCACTCCTCTATGCTCTCCCCATCTGCAGTGCTGCATCCAGGGCTGGGACCCTCGGTACAAGAAAGACAGGGGGAGCTATTGTAGAGGGTCCATAGGAGGTCACACAGATGATCAGAGGGCTAAAGCAGGTCTCCTATGAAGAAAGGCTGAGGGATCTGGGCTTGCTCGGCTTGGGGAAGAGAAGCTGCAGGGTGACCTCATTGCAGCCTTCCAGAACCTAAGGGGAGCCTACAAACAGGAGGGGACTCAACTCTTGGAAAGGAGAGATAACAGCAGGACAAGGGGAAATGGTTGGAAGTTGAAGGAGGGCAGATTGAGGTTGGATGTCAGGGGGAAGTTGTTTAGAGAGAGAGTAGTGAGGGGCTGGAACAGCTGCCCAGAGAGGCTGTGATGCCCTGTCCATCCCTGGAGGTGTTGGAGGCCAGGTTGGATGGGGCCCTGGGCAGCCTGGGCTGCTGTGAGATGGGGAGGTTGGTGGCCCTGCATTGGGGGGGGGTTGGAGCTTCGTGATCCTTGAGCTCCCTTCCAACCCAAACCATCCTATGGCTCTGCTCACCGCTGCCGCAGCCGCTGGATGATGAGATCCACGGGGTTCTGTGGCCAGCGCCCCACCTGCTGCGCAAAGCCGCGGTGGTAGATCTGGAACGCCTCGGGGTCGCTCTGGAAGAGCTGAACGGCGTCGCGGCTGCTGCCGGTGTAGAGCCGCTCGTTGATGTACCGGAACCGCGCCGCCAGCAGCCGCTCCTCCATGCGCGCCCGCAGCGCCGCCGACCGCCCGGTGGGTGCCGCGGCCGGGTCGGCGGGTTCCGGTGCCGCCTGTCCGGTACCGCCACCTCCGCCCGCGTTCTTCTCCGCTTTCAACTTCTCCTGCCGCCGTTTGTTCTTCTGTTT